CACACGAAGGTTGGCGGCTGTAAAGGAAGAGCAAGAAGACGAAGAGAATCCTACCAGCACAAACAGGCCGGCCGCGATGAGGATGCCGCTGCCCACGACGACGTGGACCGGGTTGTAGCGCTTCATGATCCGTCGCACGTGCTCGTTTTGCTTGAGCACTCCCTAGCGACATCACACGGTAGTGTTGGCTTGTGTCGCGTGTGCGCCGTGTGTGTCGTGTGCGTGTCGTGTGCGTGTCGTGTGCGTGTCGTACCATGAGATAGAGGGCGGCGATGATGATGACAACAATGCCGGCGCACATCATGAGGGCGCCCAAGTAAAGACCGACCTGCTCGATCAGTCCGTTGAAGACGGCGGCGACCACCATCGCCACGCAGACAAACAGGAACCTGAAACCGAACTCCTGTGTGGTGTGTGTGTGTGTGTGTGTGTGTGTGTTGAGTCTCACAGCCGCGCGGCGCGGAAACCGCACACGACGTGACACGTTACCTCGAGCGTGGCCAAGATCAGGGCGTTGGCGGCCTTCAGGAGGAACGGCCTCCCCTGGGTTCTGACGTCACGGCCGCGGAAATACCACACCGCCGACGACAGCACGCCTGCTCAACAAAAACAAAAACAAAAACAAAAGCAACCAATTAATGATTCCTGGCGTCGCGACGTGCGTGAGCCACCACCCCGCCGTACGACCAAAAGCGGGGTGGTGGGTGCGTGGGATGTGGTCACAAGGTACGCACCTCCCCACAGCAAGAGAGCCCAGGAAGCGGAGAAGAGATCCGGAATCGAAAAGCCCTTGTACAGATAGGGATACCCGAAAAACCTGCGCACACGACACGACACGACACGACACGACACATACGCACCACCCGCACGACACGCGCAGGTCGACCAAAAGCAGTGGTAAGGCCGTGGGTGAGTCGTGTTTTCGCTTAAAAAGCGGCTGGGCCGAAGAGGAGAGAGGGAGGCGTCGTACGCGGGGGTGATGAGGGTGGTGAGGAGCCACACGATGGTGGCGATGGCGAGGGCCAGCCCATAGGGCTTGAGGCCCGCGGTGAGGGCCTGCACGAGCTGCCGGTGCTTGTTGCCCGACGTGTAGACGGTGTCGTTGGCCTTGTTGGGGTCCTCGTGCAGGTCCTTCTTGACGGCGACGAGCTGCATGCCCGACGGGTTGAGCTTCTTGCCCACGGCCACCAGGCCGCGCGCGAGCGGCGGCGGCAGCACAGCGAGGAACTCTTCAACTGGATCAAAGTCATCTTCATCGTGTTGCTTGCCCCGCCCTGGCAGAGATGTAAGATTGATCGTGTAGTGAGCGAGTAGCGGCTACGCTGATGACGTGGCACCACATTTTGTAGGAAGGCGTACCTGCGCGTCGAGATTGAGGGGGGCTGAGCTGGGGGCGCTCGGATGATGATGGAGGGGCGCCTCCAGCCGCTCTGGCGCGCATGCCGGTGTCGCCCGTCATCATGGCCATGCCATCATCGAGGCCGCCGGCGGGCATCGCCGCATGATCGTCCAATTGAATGATGGTGGGCTCAGCAGACGAAGAGGTCGAGGGGGCGGTCGACGATCCTACAAAATCTGAGCTGCCCGTGTGGGTCTGTTGATCCAGATTCCACTGCCCCGAGCCATCCGTCTCGGCGGTGGTCGCCGCGGGTTGCGAAGCCAAGGGAGCGCCTTTGCGTAGCATCTCTTCTCTTCTCTTTTCTTCTTCTTCAATCCTGTGTGGCACAAGAGCTGCGTTGTCGCACACTTGAGTTTTTTCTTTTGCTTTTCTTTAACATTTTTATTTTCCTCAATTCCTTACTACTCGAAGAAAGGAAAATAAAAATAATAAAGAAAAAATTTGTGAGCTTGCAGCCCTTGCCTTGAACAAGGTGTACCAGCAAGCAACAGACTCACCATCATTCTGACAGCTGTGTTGCCACAAAGTGGAGTGCCAGCCTTAGGCACCAGGAGCTCCTCCTTCCTCAAAAACAAGCCCACTTTGCACCAACAGCAATTTTTCCGCCAAGCAAAAGCGGGATATTTCCTCGCCGAGAGCAAGGTGGCATGAAAACGAGAAAATCGACTGCTACGATCGCAAGAGAAGGCTGACTTCTACTTCCAGCTGAGAGGTGCTAGATAGAACAGGAGAAGTTTGGGCTGGGCAAGAAAGAAAGGAGAGCACATATGTACGTCCATTCAATTCCTGTCCCCATTTCGCCCCAATTTCATTTCAAGCACTACTGCATTGTGTTACATTCATTCATGTTCCTTCACTTTACTTGCGGTTCGAAGTTGCGCTTGCGTTGAGGGGGGGGGCTTTAATTTGTTGTCATTCTCGTAATTTGCTTTCTTGGATTCTACTTATTATCTAAGTTGCTTCCTCTCTGGCCGTCGATCGCGCAGAGATCTCTTAAGAAGATGCTGCAGCCGCAGAATCCCTGGGAGACAGGAGAGCTGGCAGGCCTGATGGGCCTCGCCAAGGACGAGGGCGAGGTGGTCAGCACCTGGTCCGTAGGAGTGGGCTTCGACCACCAAATGGCTCCCGTCCTGCGCGGCAAGGTACCCTTTTACGCCCATCTCCTGCGACACACCACACACACACACACACACACAACACAACACACGAGCTGTGCCTCACGCACGAGCGCACACGCACGTACCACTCAGGTGGAGCCACGGCGCTACCGGAAGACGATAACCGAGTTGAATCGCATAACGCGAAAGGAGAACGTGTACAACTACGTCTTCACGCTGCTGCTGCTCATCTTTGTCGTGCTCCCCATCGGCTACTACTTCTTCTTTGCCGACATCATGCGCGGTTCGTCGGGCAAGGAGATCATCGTGCTGCACGACACGGCGCTCATGGGCCTCACCTACATCATTCTCGCGTGCGACGTACCGGCCCTGCTCTACGTGGCCTATCTGGGCTACCGGCGCGAGCAGAACGAGATCCACTCGCTGTCGCACTTCCTCCTCATCATCCTCTCCTTTGGCAACACGATCGCCTATCCGTTCGCGCTCGAGTTCATCCACGCCGAGAACCTCTCCATCCTGTTCCTCCTCTACCCGCTCATCTTCCCCTTCCTCAGCCTCATCTCCATTTTCATCAACAGACGCCTACCCGAGGTACTCTTTTGTGTTGCGCGCGTGTCGTGCATCTGGTGGCTTGTGATGGACTCGCTGACTGACCGCACACGCACACGGCGCAGCTGCTGGGAGAGGCGAACGAGTTTATTGAGAAGGAGAACCTGGAGTACTACCACGGCAGGGGCGTCACGCTGCGGCTGAGACCGGAGGTGGGCGACCGCGTGCACATGGTGGTCAACATCTCCACGGGCTACAACAGCACCGAGGACACCGACAGACCCCCGGCCGCCGACGCCGACGGCCATGAACAGGCCTACAAGGAGGTGTAGCGAAGGAGCTCCACTAGCCTCTCCACAACTCCCACGGACATGCTCTCAGTCTGGTGTACACAACACACGCCCGTTTGTTTTAGATGACGATGTTAGATGGCAACGTGAAGCTCCCAGTTGCGCGAAGAGGTGCCGGCTGGTGCACCTCGCGGGTTGGGTGCCAGTCAAGCCTTTCGGCTGAATTCCAACGAACAAATAGGTGGTAATTAGGCTGCCTATTTATTTATTTGTTTTGTCGGATCTCTTCTGTACTCGATCATCTACAAGCTTGCTACAGAGAACGATCCAATTTCAATCCAACACTTAAAAATGTTCGAATATTGGCTGGCACACGAGAATGCCGTGTTCATTAATCACATCTACATGTTCCTGGTGGCCTCCTTCACGATCGGCAGCATAATTTACATGCGAAACACAGCCCACAAGCAACAGTACCGCCTCTCCCCCGCCTGCTCTCCTTGCCGTTATAAATTGGAACTAATACCGATGATGATTATCGCAGGCCTGGAATGCACAAAGATGCCTCTCCCCGATTCATGGGCTTGGTCGCCCTCTTCTTCGGTCTCTTCATTTGCTTCGGCTACTTCTTCGTACGCTTGCCTCCAATCTCTTCATTTCACTCTTTCGCCAGCCGCTACTCGATTCCAGTGTTTTGATTTTACTTTGCTTTTATTCGGTGATGCGCCCCACACAGGTGTACATGTCGGGACTGGGCTTGTGGGCGCTGCCGATCATGTACGTGCTCGCCATGTGCAGTGCGTCGGCCATCATCTACCCGATCGACCAGGCCCTGATGAAGGGCGCCTTCGTCAAGTGGGTCAAGTACTCGGGCAACCAGGTCACCAAGTCCATCCTCCCCATCTACAGGTATGACCCGCACGACCGCCAAGCGTGCTCCTTTGCTTTTGCTGACAATGCATTGTCTGGTCGTGCTGACACTTGGCTCTCCACACAGCACTCACCACACCTGAACAGTGCACTCACACGTGACACACATACAGCTGTACTTCAACCACAACCAGTATGACCAGCATGTTGGTGTTGTTGTGAAGAGTGAATGTACATTCCGGCCATGCCGCCGCTCCTGCGCAACATTTTTGTCTATTTTCTCAATTGGTTTTAGTCGACATTTTAGGTGAAGTCACCGGCAACCAACAAAAATGAAAGTAGCGGCCGACGTAGGAGGTTGCTTGTTGCCCTCCCCACCATGCACACCATCAACACAGCGGGCAACGGCCTGCCCCGATAAAGACGGAAACAAAATGAACAACACCACGATGAGGAGAAACAACAACAAGAAGAACGAAGAAGAGAGGAATTCTAGGTCGTCCGGAGGAGACGTCGTGACGACGAGCGCGAAGAAGCGTGCTGCGCCCACCACGCCCAGTGGAGGCCACAACAAGAAGAGAAAGAAGACGAATGGCGGCAGACTAGCACCACCCCGCCCGACGGAGAAAACGAGAAAGAAAAGGCGACGACGGGAAATCAGCGAGGAAAAGCAGGTACAAGTAGAGGCTCAAGATGAAGGCGAAGAGGCTGTAGGAGAAGATGAGACGGAGGAGGAGAGCCTTAGAAGGCGAGGAGGCTGTAAGCAGATCCTCCCCTTGCAAGCGAGGCAGCAGCTCACCAAGGAGGGCCTGCGTGTCCTGAAAGAAGCGGATCGGGCGCTACGTCGACGTAGCGGCATCCACAAGCTTCGCCTCCAGGCCGCCGACAAGCAGCTTGTCTCGCCATCGTGCTCTGGTGGCGGCGCGGAGGCGAGCCTCGGGCGGCTGCACCTCGGCTGGACCTGCTACGTGTGCAAGAAGCGGTACGACCAGCTCCACTTCTTCTACGACCAGCTGTGTCCGTGGTGCTCGGCCCTCAACTACTCCAAGCGGTACACCACCCTTCTCCTCGAGCTCTGCGTAGTTATGCATCGACGTCGTGACGATCTTGATGAATGACGATCATGCCATACAGGTTGGATCGGGCCAACCTCACGGGACGAGTCGCACTCGTAACCGGAGGCAGGGTGAAGATCGGGTACGCACACACACGACACACAACACACGGTGTGCTACTGAGTGAATGCCTCACTCATTCTGGCTACCAGGTTCCAATGCGCGTTGCGGCTGTTGCGGTGCGGTGCTTCGGTGATTGTCACCACCCGGTTCCCGACCGATGCCGCTCTACGCTACCACGCCGAGCGCGACTTTGAGCTGTGGCAGGGCCGGCTCTCCATCTACGGCCTGGACCTGCGCGGCATGGGCATGGTCCAGCTGTTCACCCAGTTCATCGCTCACACCCACAGCAGGTGCACATTTCGCCCCGCGCAACTCTTACGCTTTCTCCTCAGCTCTCGCATTCTTCTCACGCGCGTCGTGTGGCGATGGAAAGGCTGGACATTATCATCAACAACGCCGCGCAGACGATTCGAAGGCCACCGGCCTACTATGCGCATCTCATCCCGGTCGAGGCCACCCCCGTGACCCGCCTGCCCACCGGCATCCAGCGGCTTCTCGACAACCCGTGGAATGCGCAGAATGCCGTCGACATGACCCAGTTCAAGCGTGCGCTGGACGCGGTGCAAGACGCGCAGCGCCCGGGCCTTCTTCAACACGCGCCGCCCACGCCATCGGCGGTGCTCAGTCTCAGCTCGCCCCAGCCCGGTCCTCCGCTGCGGATCAGTGAGGCGTCAGGTTCGTCATGTCCGCGCACACCTCCTGCAGAGCGCACACTCTAACCGTGTGTGTGTGTGTGTTGTGTGTGTGTGTGTGTCAGCTTTGTCGCAGGTGCGACTGGTGCCCGGAGAGGACGACGCGAAAGCCGGCGGGGAGCTGTTCCCAGCGCGGGCGCTCGATGCCGACGGCCAGCAGATCGACCTGCGGCCCAACAACACCTGGTCGGCGCGGGCTCATGAGGTGCGCACCATGGTTCACAGGAAAAATACGAAGTGCGCGCCGGGTGGTCAATCGCGCCTAACGCTTCGTGTGTGTGGTCGGTCGTGGCCGCAGGTCTCAGGGGTGGAGGTGATGGAGGTGCACGCCATCAATGCCGTGGCGCCCTACATCATCACTTCGCAGCTGCTCCCGCTCATGCTCTCCCATTCGCCCGTACCGTTAGCCCCATCCACTTTTATGAACACGCGCCGCACACGCCACACGCCACCGCCACACGCCACACGCACACGCCACACGCCACACGCCACACTGCATCGCTCACACTGTGTGGCTGCGCCCTCGGTCAATCAGAGGCTGGATAAGTACGTGGTCAACGTGTCGAGCATGGAGGGCAAGTTCACGCGCCCGCACAAGGACCACCGCCATCCCCACACCAACATGGCCAAGGTGCGTTCCTTTGTTGTGGCCTTGTTGGCCTCTCTTGATATGTCTAATGTGTTGCGTTGTTGTTGTTGTTGTTGTTGTTGTGTGTCATGTGCGATCGTCAGGCGGCGTTGAATATGATGACCTGCACCATGGCGGCCGACTACGCGCGCGACAACATCTACATCAACTCGGTGGACACGGGCTGGGTGACGAACGAACACGCGTGGGGGAAGGACGGCTGGGACGACTTCACGCCGCCCCTCGACGACATCGACGGCGCCGCCCGCATCCTCCAGCCCGTACCTGCCCTTGCCCATTTCATCTTTCATCTTAATCTCTTCCCCCTACCTTCTCCTTATACGATTCGTAATACAAATGTAATCTCAACCTTCAGATCTTTGATGGCGTTGCGCGGGGCAACTTCATGTCAGGCCTCTTCCTCAAGGACTACTCGGTCACCTCTTGGTAATGATGGTGAAGCTCCCGGGTCGCCGCATCTTGGCCTCTACACAAGTAAATAATATTATTATAGTTTGGTTATTTTTCACAAGCGATTATTGTGCGTAAAGGTGACACAAGAGATGGAAGAGCTCACCACAAAGCTGGAGGCCTTCCACAACAATCCTGATGAGCGAAATCAGAAGGAGGCAGCGATCGTAGAGGATCTGAATCGCTTCTTCGCGGCCCACAACAAGACGCCAGACTGTAGTAGTCGTTCATCTTTCACCGAGACCGCCCCCTCGCCCGACTTCGTCGCTCAGTTCGGCTGGGCCACCCGCGCTGCCTTCGTCGCCGCCCTCCTCGGCACCCTGCGCGCCCCTGACGTCCCACCCGCGGGTACGAGCTCTCATCTGTTTTATTTTTTCACTTCACTCACATCTCTGTGTCGTGTGTCGTGTGTCGTGTGCCACACAGTGTGTGCGGCGGTGCTGCGTGTGTTCAAGCTGTGCACGCGGGAGGCTCAACACGCAGAAGACTTTTGCCCAGCCCGAGGTGTGTCCACCGCACACACAACACACAACACACACGCACCACCGCACAACACACGCACTCACCCGGCCAATTTGCGCGCCAGGTGCTGGAGCTGATGCTGGCCCACACGAACCTGGGCGTCGACGATCATGTTGAAGATGTCGACGGCGCTTCTTCGAGGCAGCGCCACCCGGTGGCCGTGGCGGCCGAGGCCCTGCGGTGCATCGTCAACCTGGTCCACCACTCGCCCGCCGCCCTGGCCCCGCGCCTCTACGCCACCGTCGGCATGCGCCCGTTCCTGCGCGCTCTCGAGCGCGAGCCCGACCCGACCTACCGCCTCTCGCTCCTCCGCCTCGTCTTCAACTGCTCCCTCGAAAAGGTGCCGAGTCGCGCGTGTCGCGTTGTGTGTCGCGTGTGTCGTGCTGTGTGTCGTGTGTGTGTCGTGTGTGTGTCGTGTGTTGTGTTGCATGGTCATGACACGACACGACACGACGCAACGACACACAGTCGGCGAATCTGCCGGAGCTGCAGGCGCAGGGAGCTCTGCGGCTCGCCATTCGGGTGCTTGCGCACGCGCTGGACCACATCAAAGGCGGTGACGGAGCCGACAACGACGACGAGCAGGAGCAGGTGGCGACGGAGGCCCTGCGGCTCATTCTCAACCTCACCCTCCACCTGGGTCCCCTCTCCAACCCGCCCAACCCGCTCCCCAAGCCCGACGAGGTATGCCCACACATTCCATGCATTCCTCGCATACCACCATCACCCGCATTCCTCACTTTTTTTCACGACACTACACGACACGACACGACCAACGACACGACACGACACGACCAACGGCACGCGCGTAGGTGGAGTCGTGGCAGCAGCTGGTGCCGCACATCCACCGGGTGATGGAGCTGGGCGCGGGCCACCAGCGGCTGCAGCACTTTGCCGTGGCGGTGCTCGTCAACACGCCCCAGGGCTGCGCCCACCACTTCCGCATCGACACCGCCAGCGTGGACTCCCTCCTCGACTTCCTTCGCCGCCAATTCGACCACCCTGAGTACCGTGTCGTGTTGCGTGTCGTGTCGTTGGTCGTGTCGTGTCGTGTTGCGTGTCGTGTCGTTGGTCGTGTCGTGTCGTGTCGTGCTGATCGTGTGTCGCAGTGAGACGCAGGTGGCGCCGGTGCTGATGGTGCTGGTGGCGATCGCGAAGGGGATCCCGGCGCTGCGCGATTATATGATGGCCCGCTGCTTCCCCGCCCAGCCCCCGCCCCTCTCCTCCTCCAAGCCCATCGAGTACCTTCCGCCCCCCTTCCCCGCCCCCTCGCCCATTGCCGTGTGTGCGGTGGTGCGTGCGTGCGCGTGTGTTGCTTATGTGCGGTGGTGCGTGGGTGCAGGCCTCCGTCCAATTGGATGGAGAACGAGATTGGCAGCCGCCTGCTGAAGCTCATGACGGCCGTCAACTACGGCCTCAAGCACTACGTCAACGAATTCATCTACGTGCTTTGCGCCGAAGACGGTACGCTTCATCATCATTTATCATGGCAACGCACCACCCTATTCACACGGCACACACGACACACACACGACACACACATGACACAGTTGATGCGTTTGTGAGGATCACCGGCCTGGGCAATGCTGCTGGCTGGCTGGCCACGCGCAACCTCTTCCAGGTACTTTGACATGCCGCACATCGTGCGTTCTGTGCGCTCAACGACACACACACACACACACACGCACACGCACACGCACACGCACACACACACGACACACACACAACGCCACAGGGCTTCCAGAAGATGGGCTCCGCGGCCCCGACGTCCACTTCATCGTCGTCGTCGTCAAGGGCGACACACCAAGCCAAGGCCCAGACCAAGGGCGGTCCCGAGGACGAACAAGAAGAGAACGAAAACGAAAACGAAAACGAAAACGAAGACGAGTACGAAGAAGACGAGCTCGGAAGGCTGAGGAGGCGCGGCCACGGCGGCGAGGGTGGTGGCGGCGGCGGCGGTGACGACGGTGAACGGGACGAAGCTAGCCTGCTCGAGCTGATCGGCAAGCTCGAGAGGCTGCAGCAGCTGGGCGTCATCAGCGTCATGCCGGCCAACAACAGCAGCAGCAACAACCACGGCAACGACAACGACAACGAGAAACAGAACAACAACACGAAGAAGGGCGACAAGTAACTGGGCATCGACAAGGCACCACCGCCACGATCGTCAACGATCGCATCATTTCTTTCGCTTCGTCGAGCCACGCACTTCTTCTCTGTGCTGTAATCGCTCAACACCGTCAGTACAGTAGACTTGGTCGCCGAGAGCGGCAGCCACTTTTCCCTTCTTCGGCGCTTGCGCTGCGTGTCGTCAGTTGTTGGTGATGTGACATTGGTCGAGGATCGGGTTGAGCCTCATGGTCGGGTCGGCCTCCGCCTCCTCCACCTCCGCCTCTATCTTCATCCTCTTCCTATGCGGCCATTGCCTCTCTTCTCTTTCGTTTGGGTCATCGTCTTCTTCATCATAGTCCGGGCCGTGCAGGGTCAGCACCTCGGCCCACTTGCGCTTGCGCCCCGCCAGCCCAGTGCGCGCCGCCCTGTCTTCGTCTCCCGCCATGGCCCTCGTTTCCCATCGCCGTAGTCGCCACAAGGCCCAGTCGCCGGCCGTGAGCTGCATCACCAGCCTGACTTCGCCTTCCTTCGGCAAGGCCTTCTTCTTGCACGCCTGCCTTGTCGTTCTTCTCCTCCTCATCGTCCCCCTCTGTTTGCCTGCCCTTCTCTTTCCCTCGGCCCTCTGCTCCTCTGTGCACAGCTCCATCTTTTTGTGCTGTTTTTTGTTCTTTCAAATTAGTTTTTGTTCGCGCATGTTTTCGAGGAACTGTTGGGAAATATTTATAAAAAATTGGGGCCAAGATGAAAAAGGTGGTGGTCTAGTTGGTGATGTGGCATCGGTCGAGGATGGGGTTGAGTTTCGTGATCGGGTCGGACACCAAGAACTCTTCTTCCTCTTCGGGCCAGTTGAGCTTGCGCCTCTTGTACTCCTGCTCCTGATGCTCTTCCTCCCTATCCTCCTCCTCTTCCTCTTGCTCTTCATCTTCATTGCCCTCCTTGTCTTCCTCATTCTCTCCGTCCTGGTCATGTTCGTTCAGGGTGAGGACCTGGTCCCACTTGCGCTTGTACTTTCGTACTTCTTCCTCTTCCTCTTCCTCTTCTTCTACACTTTCCACGCGCATACCTCTTCTTTCGACTCTCTGCCTGAGCCAGGCCCAGTCACCAGCCGTGAGCTCTCGCAGCAGCTGCACGTCGCCTTCCTTGGGCCGCCGGGCCGACTTGACCACCTTCTTCTTCTCCTCCTCTTTTCCTCTCCCTCTCGCCTTCGTGTCACTAACATCCAACTCCTTCACCTTCTTCATGAAGACTGAGAACCAACGACCAAAGCTTCTTCTATTGACTAGCCTTCTCTCTCCAGAGGTGCGGCCAAGAAAATAGTTTTCAATTTTCTTCGAACACAAAAATGGAATTACAGATATTTGAATTGTTTTCTAAATATTTCGATAATACAAAAAGCGCGGACAACACTATCTCTGGCCGGTCTTCTTCCAGCGCAGGCCGCACCTGTGAGAGGACCACAGGTCAGACCACCGAGCATGATCGGTGAACACGCACGACACGACACGACACGCAAGGAGTGTGTGGCAGGTGATGGGGCCGGGGAGACGTACGCGTTGCATAGGGTGCCCTTGCCCTCGGGTCCAGTGCGCCATTCGGGCGTCGAGGTGGCACTGCAGTGCAGGCACGTACGGCCGGTCATCACCCTCGGCGCGTGATGCCTCTTGCTGCCGCCGCTCTTCTTGCGGTTCTGTTGAGAGTCAGAGCAAAGGTGGTGGTCAGCAAGCGCTGTTAGTAAGGTCAGGTGGACATAACAACAACCAAGAGAGATAAGAGAGAACCTATTACATGTCGCGTTTTAGGAAAATTCAGCCTTTTTTGTGATTGGTGGTTGCAGGTGAGCCGGAGCAATGATGTGACAAGATTGACAGTCGATACGAAATTTCGTTACCGAGCTCACCCACTTCTCTCTTTTCGAGTTTACTCGTTGGAGATAAAAAGATAATGAGGGTGTAAAGAGATCAAGTGATAAGTAGTAGTGAATGGGGGTGCCGTACCCGGCGTCGGCTGGGCCACGGGTTGGCGAGCACGCGCTCCGGAGAAGACGGCGAAGAAGATGAAGAAGATGAAGAAGAAGATCTCCGTCGCGAGGAGGCCGTCTTCCTTGAGATCGCGGCCACTGCTGGCGTGGTCGCGGGAGATCGACGGTGGCCGTGCGCCACCCCCACCTCATCGTAGTCTGAATCCGATCTCTCGTCGTCATCATCATCATCGCCGTCGATGATGTACTGGAACAGTCCGTCATCTCCTTCGTCCTCTTCCTCTTGCACTTCTTCCTTCATCACCGCCACCTTCACCTTCTTCTTTTCCATCTTCTTCTTTTTCTTCTCTGTCTTCATCTCCTTCTTGATCTTCTTCTTTGTGGGCTCTTCGTCGCGATGCTCGTCGTGGCCGTCGCCGGTGGCGACCTCCGCCGGAGCGCGTCGCCGCTTGGGGCTGGCCGCCGTCGCCGCTGGGGCCTCGTGGTGGTCGCCGCCGCCCGCGAGAAGGGCCAAAGTGGCCGCGTGCTGCATGCGGAGCAGATACATCCGCTTCAGGATCTCGTCCGGCTCCAGGTCCTCCTCCTCTTCATCATCTCCGGCGCCGGCCGACGACGACGACGATGAAGGGGAGAAGAGGGTGGGCGAGGCCGGCGCGGAGGAGCCGTGGACGGGAGACGACGGGGCCGACGAGGATAAGAACGAAGGCGACGGCAGCGGCGAGGCCGATTCGGGGTAGGGCGACCGGGCGTCGCCGGCCCGGCGATCCCGCTCGCCGTCGTCGTCGGCCATGGCCGAGCTCGGCCCCGAGGTGGGTGGCCACCCGAAGCCGGCGCCGTTGAGGATCCCGGCGAAGCCGAGTAAAGAGGGCAGGGCCAGGAGCGATTGGGGCACGGCCGGCAGGATCGCCGACGACGATGAAGCAGGCGATGACGATGGCATGTTGAACATCTCCATGGCGCGGCGGATGTGATGGTCGGCGGCGTTGGCGTTGGAATTGAAATTGTTGTTGGGGTCGTAGTGGTGGGCTACGATAACTCCTCCATCTCCTCCTTGAGGCGGCTGCTGCGCGACGGAGGAGACCTGAAGTGAAATGAAGGGATATATCCAAAGTTAGCAAAAACCAGGGTTATTCGCGAGCACGCTATTGGTGGGCCAATCCCAACCATTCTACGGAAGTAGTGTTGTAAAAAATTGTGGTTCGGTCAGGCGAGGTTCCAGGGAAGTGGGGAGTCCAACAACGTCGGCCAAGATGATGTTGTTAGTCGTTTGGTCTTGGTCTTCTACAACAACAAGACGATGAACAACACTTGATGGTGGGCTCAAGGCTCGTAGAGTGAACGATGAAGTTCGTGGGGCCGAAGACAGAATTTGGGAGACCGATCGCGCGTGCCGCACGCCACCCGATAAATTGGGGTGATGGGGAATGAAGCCGACGTTGTCTTCTTCGTCGGCGAGGCAGTGGCCGCCACATAGGTTACCGATCGGTTGGACATCACCGCCAATAACAAAACAAAAATAGATAAGAGATAACCCAAACAGATAACCCAGAAGAGAGAGAGAGACGGTAGGAAAGAGATAACAAAGAAGAATACGAAGAAGAAGAGATAGATGACCTTTTGGATCTGAGAAGATGTGACCGAGTCGGAGCCGAAGAACGATCGTCGATCGTCGGGCCGAAGCCTGGCGGGCGGGTAGGGCGGAAGCGAGAGGCTGAAGCTCGACGCCATTCGGATGTGAACCGAAAACACGAAAAGATTACCGAACTGGACCTGCAATAGCCGATAGATATAGATAGAAAGATCAGCCTGTAGCCTATACAGTAAGGTCCGACAGTTCTTGTACCTCGGGAGTTGCTTATCTCAGTAAAAAGAAAAAGTTGGGAGTGAGAGTTGATGAAGAAGACGATGGGGGAGAGATGTCGGCAATATGATGATGTTCGTCCGGTGGCTGGTGCGGTGATCAGATGGCGGCAATGGGTGCTTCGTGCTTTCCGGATACCGTGAGAGCTTCTCTCGTAAGTTCTGGTTTCTCTCGATAGTGAAGAGTTGGTGTTCGGTTGCGAACGAAAGAGAGAAGTGAGATAGTGTGTGTGTTGCGGCCGGGACAGGGGAAGGGACGAGAACAGGCCGGGCGCTTGGCCTTATCTCCAAGCCCTTCGGCCATTGGCTGACGACAAATAATACCAAAGTTCGCCAGTAGCGGGCTTAGCAACAAACGACGTGGACCAACCAAAGGTCGCTGCAACCTGAAATTTCCTCTTGTGGCCTAAAGAAGCAACAAATCCGCGCCTTGCGTGATTTTAACCCCGACGTGTCATCACGCGCACAACGTACACAGGGCACGGAAGGTGGTTGCGAGAAAATCTCTTTTACGTTTCTTTCTCTCCGCGCGTCGTCGGTGTTCCTCACAAGCAAAGGGTCGCGTTGGCGGCCACGGGCAGCGGGCGTGGTCGGATGGGTGTGAGGCCGGCGGCGGTGGCGGCGGCGCCGAGAGGCGAGGGCGAAGGGGTGGTCAGGAGGGACCAGGGCACGGGGACCGAGGGCGGTAGGGTGAGGCACGGGATCGCGCCGCCCAGCGTCGGCCACGGCGCTGTCGTTGTCGTCGTCGTCGCCGGAGTTGGCGCTGACGACGAAGTCAGTGGTGACGTGGTTGATGACGACGACGAAGAAAAGAGAGAAGAAGACGAAGACAAATGAGCGGCTGCTGCCGGAATCGTCGGCGCTGAGCTCGAGGCTGTAGAAGTCGAAGTCGAAGAAGAGGAAGCCGGAGATCGGAGGAGGTGGGCAGAAGTCGGGCGAGGTACGGCGGACGATGATGGAGGCTGAAGGCGGCCCCGTCGTGGTAACGAGGCTGCTGACGTCAGCGGAAGAGTCGCAGGCGAGGCCGCCATTGAGTGCAGCGGGACGCTGGTGGCGGCGATGGTGGATGAACACGCAGACGGCGATGATGATGACTGTGAAGACGACGAAGAAGACGAAGACGTTGATGATGTCGCAGGGCCTCTCCCGCCGCCGAACCGCTTGCGGAGGTAGAGCTGGTGCAGCACCAGGTGCGCGCGCGACGTGATCCGCACGGCTCTGGGCAGCTGCGGCTCCTCCTTGGCGATCACAGCGAGGTCTTCCTCCTTGACGTCTTCACTTGGTCGCAGCTCGCCGTCGTCGATCATGACCACGGCCTCGTCGTCTTTGGCGGGCTCAACGGCCTCGACGAGCGCGTTCGTCGCAACACGATGGTGATGGTCATGAGCGGCCGCTGGCGAGGAGACGGGATGGCTCGTCGTGTCGGTCTCGCTGTCGGTGTCCGCCAGGTCGCGCGGTGGGGATGACGAAGTTGTAGAAGAAGAAGATGGAGATAAAGATGATGAAGAAATCGAAGATGAAGACCTCTTGAGCTTCTTGTGGGCCGGGCGACGCGTGGTGGCCACGTCGGCCCAGTCGCTATGGGGGTGGTGGAGGGACATCAGGGCCTCCACGGCGTCCGTGTCCTTGGACTCGCCCCCCTCGATCTCGAGGGCGCGGGCGGCCGCTACTTCGCTGCTGACGTGGCATGACGAGCTCCGAGCCTGGGCAGCGGCTGACGTGGCAGAGGCGGTCTCCGGCTCCGACTCGTCGTTCTCCTGGCCTTCTCGTCTGTCAACTTTCTTCTCGACGGCCTTTCTCTTCTTCGTCTTCGTCTTCTTCATGTTGTTGTTCTTGTTCTTCCTCTTGGTCGATAGCGACGACGGGCGGACCAACTCTTGGCCGGCCTGGGTGGTGGTGGGCTCCTCGACGTCCATCATCACCAGCTTCATGTTCTACGCGGTGGACCAAAGAAATGGTGAAGGTGAGTTTTGGGCACACATCGGGCGGGATATTGGGGCAGGGGATTGGGCGATGCTGGCGCTGTCGGCGACATAAAGCTTCGTCCAATCGTGACGCGTCGAATTTATCCACAAATTTCACGATTGGCTACAAATGGTGACAAACCTCCAAGCCAATAGCTCGGGAACATTTTGCTTGGGATATGGGACAAAAAAAAACAAAACAAAACATAGTGCATTTCGGGTACGCACCACAACCCTTGTGCTTGTGCTGGTGCTGTCGTGCTTGCTGGTGTTATGAGCGTGAAGCGATAATGGTGTTCTGCTGGACGCGGCACCACCAACTTGGCAGAGGGCGGAAAAGAAGGAAGAAGTGGGCGAGGAAGTGGTGTGGGAACTGTTGGTCGGTTGCCGGCCTCTGACGTGGATATCGGGCCAACGCTCCGGGAAAGGGCGAGCGAACAGCGACGGAGCAGGCGGAGGAGAACGGCAGGGAAGAGGTGAAGGAGGAGACCGCGGACTTGGTTGCACCTCATTTGCTGCTCCGCGATTGGCGCAAAACAAGTGGTGCTCTCGTTGGTTGGTTGGTCAGAACCATGGTTGTCCGTTTCGCCTTTGTTCCCTGAAGCCACCCAAAAACTCCAGCGAAACCTCCTTTTGCCCAGAACCGAGGAAACAGATGCCTGCGTTGCCTAACACACATTAGGATTAGAGAGAACAAGCATCCGTGGTCCAGTGGCAAGATTTCCGCCTGCCACGCGGGAGACCCGGGTTCAATTCCCGGCGGATGCATATCTTTTTGCCCACCAGGGAGGAGATGAAGAACACCAGGACTCAAGTTCTTCATCCCTCTGTGTTGGGCTGCTTTCTTTCTGAGTTGGAAAGGCTTGATTGAACAAAAAAAAAAAAAAAATGGCAGTGCCACCACACAGTACAAATGTGAAGTTCAGTCCATGTGTGCAACTGACTGAATAAGGTGTGAGGTTGACCATGAACTGGATGTGAGAGTGGCATGTTGACCACTGATTAGGGAATTGATGGAGGGAATGAAAGCAAAGGCAAGGTGCATTTTGAGGTTGTTCAGAGGAGCACATACATAACACAAGGTAGGTTCAGATTTTCTGGATTGTGTATGTGTATGCAACAAACTAAGTAATGGTAGGTTGAATGGGAAGTCATCACATGCACATACACAATAACATAAGTGTCTGGTTTTACAGTTTTTTGTTGTAAGTCACCCTGCCATCAGCCATGGCCAACAACAAGGAACTGTTGAAGCTCCTTAAGGAGGTAACTGCCCCATTGCACCACATGCTATTTTCAAAGCCCATTCTATCACATACACATACACAATAGAATGTCCTGCAGTTTCATTGCAAGTACTTTTCAGCTTTTTGATGGCATCACTGTACCAGATTGCATTCCTGCCAAAATGATTAGATATATATGGTAGGGTTAAGGCTATCTATCTTCTCACCCTCTACATCTAACATGGGACCTACACCAGCCAAAAGGTCATTGGGGGTCAAGTTTCATTCCATGGCAACAAATTGTTTTCTTGCTAAGTGGTGGAAAACTTGACCCCATGATACTCAAGTCCAATACAATAGGCCCCTGCCCAATTCACCTGAGGTGTTCAGGGACTGTTGTTGCCCCATTTCCTTTTTTCTTTTTACCTTGCCTGTGGATGTACAATTCCTGCTGTTGTACTCCAAGAAGTCTCCAACAAAAAGTTCAAGAGAGTTGTTCCCTGCCTAGCTTGGACCTCTTCGTAGGCTGGCTGAAGTGTTGAGCATTATGATTATTTTGGTGTATAGTTACTTCCCTTTTCTCCTATTGTGGACAAGTCCCCTGTGGTGTAGTTGGCTAGCATTTCCGCCTGTCACGCGGACGACCCGGGTTCAAATCCCGGCGGGGGAGATAATTATTTTTTGATGCAGGACAGCCACTCTATGTCCCACGCAACCACAGGGCGTCAAGAAAAGAAAAGAAAAGATGAGTGCTCCAAAACCTGTGCTGTTGGTGGTAGAGCTGTGTCTGGAGCTAAAGATAACCACATTTTGTAGTTAAAAAATAACCTAACCACAAAAGAATTGCATGTGGTTAAACTGGTCTAATGGTTATGGACAATCCTTGATTGACCACAATGCTGCACAGCCCCAGTGAAATTATGAGAAATTAATTTCATATAACTTGTCCTTTTGGAGAGCAATGCCATTCACAATACAGATACCACAACAAAAAATTAATGGTGGCCATGTTGCCCTAGGTTGCTAACACAGTTCCATTACAAAGAGGATTAGAGAGAACAAGCATCCGTGGTCCAGTGGCAAGATTTCCGCCTGCCACGCGGGAGACCCGGGTTCAATTCCCGGCGGATGCATATCTTTTTGCCCACCTGGGAGGAGATGAAGAACACCAGGACTCAAATGGCATGAGTGGCTCTGGTGGTGGGCGCATCACAAGATTGAGGCCTTGGTGTGTCCTTCTCTCTGATGCAGCTGAGTAGAGCATAGCCAGAGCTGTGATTAATCCCAGCCAAAAATCTGCTACTCAGACTGGTGAGGCAGCAGAACTGGGCCAAGAGAGGTGGAAGAATGCTCTGCCCATCATCTGTGACATCAGGTATGGGACTCCTCATAGTCACTTTGCTGGAAGTGGGAGTGAATGTGTGTTTTTTTGTCTGTGACCAAGGTCCACTGCCTTGATTTAGGAGGCTGTTAAGAGGTGCCTGCAGCACTTTGGACTTGACTTTGTGGTGTACAATGCTGGTGCCATCTGGTGGGCCAAGGCCAACCAGACCAACACCAAGAGGTGCAAGGCTGCCATGTCAAGACTCATATGTGACTCATGAGTGTGATGGCACTCACTGACACTTGTGTGGCCAGGTTTGACCTCTTGCATGAAGTCAACATGCAGGGCAGCTACCACATGGTGGGGACAGTGCTGCTGCACTTCATACAGCAGAAGTCAGGCCACTTTCTCCTCATCTCTCCACCCTTGGTCATCACATAGGCCCATGGGTTGCATGTCAGGAGAAGAACTTCACTCACAGCATGGACTGGGTTGGTGGAATGATGTGCATGCACCTCATTCAAGTACTGGGCTAACCCCAACATGGAGCCTCTGCTCCTGCCTGCACAGTTCCCCTCCCTCCTGGTGGCCAAGCAAGATGCACCCAGCCTGCAGATGAGCAGTGTTGCCAAGTTATGAGTGAATAGTTCCTTTGCCAGAGTGGAATTAGCCGATGTAGCTGCCTGATGTGCGATCACAACCAACACCATGCTTTGGCCTGAAATGACATCTCGGCAGTTAGGGGCCAACAAGCTCACGGAGAAGGAACGTGCTTGTCGAAAGATTCCGTGGTGCAACGGTAGCACGCAAGCCTAACACGCTTGAGGTCGCGAGATCAACACTCGCCGGAATCATTTTTTTCCTCGTCGCTCAAATTTGTGGAGTTTTGGTGCTTCTCCAGCACTTCCAGGCGCTGTCGATGCGCTGTGGCTCGATCTGCAACGGCTCGCTGGACTGGTACGAGAAGCAGCTGCTCGATTGGGTTCGGAGGAAGAAGTAGAAGAAGTAGTCAAGAAGTTGAAAGTGTCGTGTGTGTCGTGTGTGTCGTGTGTGTCGTGTCGCGAAACAAGGTGCGGTGTCGGAATTCAAGGTCTACGAGAAGCTGCAGGGACTGACTCGTGGCCCTGTCCCACAGAGACGGACGGCGGGTTCGAGGCGATTCCGGGCTTCCACAATTTCCTGGAGACGTGGGCCAAACAGACCACCACGTACAAACCGGTACACACACGCCCACCCATACACTTGCACGACAGCACAACTGGAAGGACTTTTTTTTTTGATCGTACTGGTCTGGTACAGACAACATTGGTGGGCGTTTTTGAAGACGACCCGCTGCGTCATGACGGACAAAAGATCACCGCACGCAAGGGTACACACCACACCCGCCCACGCCCACAGGAAGCGAGCGTTGAGGCGCAACATCGTTGGTGGTGTGGTCGTCGAGGCTGCCGCACCGCAACTACCCCAACACGGGATCCAACTTCCGGTTCGTGCAGTACATCCGGGTGTACCCCGCGGCCGCCATGGCCCCGCCCGGCTCCGCCCTCTGGAACCTCGGGCACGACACACGCACCACACGCACACGGCATGACACACGCACCACTGCACGACACACGCACTACTGCACATGTGATACAACGCACCACTTGAGCTAAATCGCACACGCGCACACAGCGCGAAGATTGTGTAGGACAACCTGCCGAAGGACTTTGCGCCGAGCGAGCTGGGCCGGTAGGTTTTCGGCTTGGCTGAGTGGGAAGGACTGGAGACCGAGGCCAAGGACGGCGACAAGAAGTGCCTCCTCATGTAGGCACCTGGACAACACGCCACACACTCCACGCCCACATGCTCATATAAGCATGTGGATTTATATTTTCTATTCCTTGCCTCAGTTAAAGAGGGTTGGTCGTTTGCGCTGCAAGCTTGCCCATGTGCTCAGCGAACCGGGACACCAACTCCTGCCCACACACGCACACACGAGTTGACAACCACGCACACACACAGGCGCACATGTCGCACACGCCACACGCCACACCGCCACAGCGCCACACAGAAGCGCGCCCTGACGGAGGGCACGCACCTGGAGTCTGGCGAGGTCGATTGGTCGGCCGTCGGCGCGCCAGGGCTGCAGAAAGTGGGTCTGTAGGTACCCCGCCAGCTGCTCCGTGGCGAGCGCCACCTCGCGTTGTGTCGCCAGCTGAGACGCCTCAATCACCATCACCGTCATCACCGTCATCACCATCACCTTCGACCACTCAATGACAAAGATGACGTGGCAGTACCTGATTAGGGGCGGAAACGGCAGCGGCGTGGGCGGGGACTGGAGGCGGGATTTGAGGCGGCGGCCCTGATGGCTGGTTGGCGTCATCATCGGCGCCAGCCGTGGCCACAGCGAGCGACGCCGGCGCCGATCGCCTTCGCTTCGCCCGGGCCAACCGCACCTCCCGCTCCTCTTCATCCTCCGCTGCCTTCTTCTTGTAGTAGTCCTTGTAGTCGCAATCGTCGTCATCGTCATCGTCATCGTCATCTCCTTTGTCGTTGGCGCTCTTCCGTCTCGCGCGCTTCCCGATCACCGACACCGCCGAAGAAGAAGAAGAAGTCGTTGACGAAAGAGAAGACGAAGACAAAGACGAAGCAGAGGAAGACGAAGACGAAGACGAAGACGAAGACGAAGACGAAGAAGACGAAGAAGATGAAGACGAGGGCTGGTGCTTCTCGAGGGACATGGGCGGCTGGTGGGGCCGGAGCGCCATGGCACGGCACAGGGCGTTCACCATCTTGCGCCGGCCTCCGCTACCCACCAGCTTCTCGTCGCGGAAGCTCTCGTAGTCCCTCTTCAGCTCACTAAACAGTGTGACGACAAACCCATCAACACTTCACATGTGTGCGGTGTGTGCGTGTGCGTGCGTGTGCGGTCGTGCCTGATGAGCTGCTGGAGAAAGTCATCAGTGCACTGCAGCAGCTGCTTGTGGCAGTACGCGTGATAGGTCCCCACAATTTGCGACAGCTGTGGTCAAAATAAATACTAAAAGTACCATTTAAAGAAATATAATAATTATCTAAATAATAAAATATAATAATCTAATATCAATATATAATAATAAAATATACCAGCTCGGGGAGGGAGACGCTGAGCTTGAAGTCGACGTAGGTTTGGCGGAAGAACCTGCCCACCTGGCTCTTGAGGTCCTCCTTCTTGAGGGACTCCAGGAGCTGGACGTGCTGCTGGCACATGTACACCCGCTGGGCGGTGAGGCGCACGTCGTTGCCCGACGCCCCCAGCAGGTCCAGCTCCTCGGGCATGATGTACTGCAGCGAGATGGGCATCTTGATGCGGTGCCGCGCCATGGCTTCGTCGTTGTGGGTTTATTATTTATTGATTTGAAAAGAATAGCACCACCTGAGATGCTGGAATTCAAGGCATTTTACACGCTATTCCGAGGCCGGAAGATACAGCAGCAATCTGGTCAACATTCCGGTACCGTAACTACTCTCACCTCACCATCAAGCAACAGCAGCTGAGGAAAAGAAGAGGAAGTCTTAACGTGGCGCAATCAAGGTTGCGCCTACCCTTTCTGTCGGGTTGGCTGCTTCTATCGGCGATAGGCAATTGGCCCAGCAGATATAAAAGCGGGACCGAACACAATACCTCGCCACACTTACACCTCCTTTACCACCCAATCAAAAGAATAATGTCTGACACCAAGCCCCTCATCGCCGTCGTTGGGTAAGCGCTCACCTCCGTCTCAATTAATTCTGCTATAAATAAAGATGATAGAAACCATATAAACAATATAAACAATATAAACAATATTGAATGATATAGTACCTAAACAAAACAGAGCTACGGGTCGCCAGGGCGGCAGCGTGGTGGACGCACTCCTGCGCAGCGGCAAGTGGCGGGTGCGCGGTCTGTCTCGCAACACTGAGTCTGCCCAGGCCAAGGCCCTCGCGGCCAAGGGCGTCGAGATGGTGCAGTGCCACGTCAGCAACAACCCCGAGCAGCTCGTCGACGCCTTCAAGGTGAGTTTCCGCTCTGCTCCTATCAGACCATTATGAGAAGTGTAGTTACATTGTAACTAACAAATGCCTGCTGTTGATTGGTTGATCTTTGTGAAGGGCGCCTATGGCGTGTTTGCGATGACCAACTTTTGGGACCCGGAGCTCAACCAGGATTCACAGCTCGAACAGCAGCAGGGTCGCGCCATGGCTGACGCTGCAGCCAAGGCCGGAGTTCACCACTACATTTGGAGGTACAGTCCCACATTTCTACACAATATGTTGCCTACATTATTCTAAATATGTTCACATGACGCAGTACAAGGCCACCGGCGGGGCTCTGAACCTTTCGCACTATGCGGGCAAGTACCAGGTGGAGCACTATGTCAGAACTCACCACAAGGACTCCTTCCCTGTCCAATCATTCGGTACATACATCTTGACGATCCACTCTACATGAATATATTAAAAACTATAATGTTGATATGTATATGTGGGCAGTTTATGTGGGATTCTACTTCCAGAACGTGACCACCTTCTTCCAGCCCACGATCGAGGCCGACGGTGCGTTGGTGTTCCGCCAGCCCCTCTACAAGCATACCACCCTCCCCCTCTTCGACGTCAACGACACCGGCAACGTCGTCGCCGCCATCTTTGACAAGGTATCACAACAGCATGTTGTGCCATTCGTGTCGACATATCAACAATTATTAACATATGTTTCAACAATGCATGTTCAGCCAGAGACATACAACGGAGAGTCGGTGCCCATCGTGGCGCAGAACTTAACCGTGACTCAGATGTGCGAGGCCATCACGAAAGGTGCGGCGCGTCGTCACGTTCGTGTGAATTGATCTGTTCTCAATTTGGCTGACCCATGTTTGTTGGTTGGCGACACAGTGAAGGGACGTGCGGCACGACACGAACCGCAAGACTTTGCCGAGTGGGCCAAGGACCTTTCCACCGAGACGGCCGACAACATGCGATGGTACAACGACTACGCCCCGATCCACGAAGCCAGGTACCCAGGGACTCCTCCATTCAGCTCTAACGATGATATCGATAATGAGGCTGATGACTATCACAACAAAAAACAACAACACAGACACGCTGAGATCACCGCCAAGGTGTACCCGGCCATGGCGACGTTTGAGGCCTGGCTCGCCGAGTCGAGCTGGTTGGCCCAGTAGGAAAATAAAAGGAGAACTATCGCACCGAGATACGGGAAAGGCGTCTCTTTTTTAATGTGGTGCGACGAGTGGGCGGTGAGAGCGCTCAAGCAGCGCTGAGGGGAGAATGGCGCGGCTTCATTCGCACTGCACGCGATCAGGGAAAATAGAGTCAGAGTCTAGGTGCTGCCCGCCGGCAGAGAGAGAGAGAGAGCCAGGTGAGTATGTTTGTACCGTTTCCGTCCATCTCCTTGACGATGTCCCTGTCCAGGTTGCCCTTGCCGGCCTGCTGCTGCGCCGCTGTACACGTGTAGCGTTTGGGAAACGCAAACGCAAACGCGCAAACGCAAACGCAAACGCAAACGTGAGAATTCAGAGTTTGCCAAAAGCAAAGCAGTAGTACTACTCGAAAAGACAACCAGCAAGAGGAGGAAAGGCGTACAAGAGTCGGCATGGGCAAGGTTAGCGGCCTCTTCCATCACGGCATCGACCTGTGGCGAGCCCAACGCGTTTGAGGAGGAGAGGGGGAGTGAGTCAGCATATCGCTACGCGAAGATGGAAGAGGGGGAGGGGAGGCTCTCAACGCACCTGCTGCTTGGTGGCGGCAACGGCGGCCTCGGTGGCCTGCTTCTCGGCCTCGGCCTTGACGAGCGCCTTCTCGGCCAACCGCCGCTTCTCTCGCCTCGCGATCCGCTTTACGTCTACATCGATACATAATAAATAAATAAAATAAATAAAATCCATACATCTAAAATCGATGTAATGGAAGCGCGAGCGTACTTGTGACATAGGTGCGGGTGCCGAGGGCGGGCAGCGTGAAGGAGGAGGTGGAAGAGGAAGCGAAGGTGGGGAATCGTCCGAAAGCTGTGGGGAAAAATCGTAAAAATTACAATTAAAGGAGATGTGGGCAGATTAGGGAAACCTACAAGTGGAGGCGACGGACGAGGGGCGCGACAGCGCCAAGCGACGGCTAGGGGCAAACATTGAGTGGTGTAATCTCTCGTCCGGAGCACAAAATAAATCGACAAACGATCTTGTTGGTGTGAAAGAAAATGGCTGGGAATTTGTTTTCTCTTTGGTTTATTTGGTGGACATCTCCGAAGAACTGTAGATCGCTGAGAGGCGCAGTCGCCCGCTTGTCATCCAAACCCAAACGGCCCGAAGTACTGAGGGAGAAGGGCCGGCCGGTCCTTTTTGGATGCTCACCTCGCCCAATCGCAGGAGACGCCTGTACCCTCCCACCCTCCATTTTTATTGAGTTAATTGCTGCATTCTTTTATTCTATTCTATTTATTCTCCCTTTTATTTTATTCCTCCTCTATCTACACCCATAAATACAGAAAATAATTTATTATTTTTATTAATCGATAAGACTTGTGCAGGAGAACTGAGTGCGAGGAAGTGGAACGAGGCGAGACGCCGTTCGCAGCAGTTGCTGGTCTGCCGTCATCTGTCGACGCTCCTCTCATTCAACACCACCACCAGGCAACCACGCTCGCCAATATCATCAACGATCATCGCCTCCACCATCACCACAGCGACGTCTACATCGACCTCGAGGGCGCCGGCAACATGCAGCGGGCACGCTCGACCGATCGGCCGTCCGCGCTGTCCTTCCTGCCGCCACCCTCCGTCTCCTCTTCGTCCACCTCATCGCGGTTCGACGACGACCTTCTCTCCAAACGCTCTCCACGCTCTTCCTCCTCCTCTCTTCCCTTCATGATGTCATCATCATCTTCTTCTTCCTCTTCATCATCATTGTCTTCATCTGCCACCACCTTCTTCTCGAGCCTGTTTCCTTCTTCTTCATCACCCGTGTCATCATCTTCATCATCGTCTTCTTCTTTGTCGACAGCGGCAACTGCGTTTGTGCTTCTGCTGCCGCCGCAGCTGCGGCGTCGACCGCTGCTCCTGCTGCTGGTCACAATGCTGGTCGCCTTCTCGCTCATCGCGCTCATGCGCCTGCCCGGCGGCCCCGCGGCCTCTGCCGAGTCAGCCGCCACCTTAACTTCTCTTCCCTCCGGCGCTGCCCACGACGCCGCCGTGGACTTGTCGCGGCCCAGGCGGCCAGGCTCGGGCGACTCGTACGTCGTCACCAGGAATCCCAGTAATTCAGGCATTTTACTATGTAACGAGGTTTCACGCTGACATCTGACTCGCGTATCCAGTCAGCAGGAGCGCGCGCAGGGAGGTCGGGCCGAGGTCGGCGGCGGCGGCGGCGGCGGCGACCACGTCAGCCGGAGCCCGCTGGTGAAGCTGCTCGACGACCTGCGACCAGAGGAGCTGCAGACACATCTGGTGCGCGCGCACCAACATTGGCGATTACATCATTACTTGCATTGACTGGCAAGCTTTATGTGTGTACTTGGCTCAGGAATATCTGAGCGACGACCTGATGGAGGGCAGAGGCACAGGCACCCGAGGGGAGGTACGCACACGCACACGCACACGCACCACCGCACGCACACATTAATGTGGATGGGACATTGGGCGAAACAGGAGTTGGCCACGTTGTATATAGCGGCGCAGATGAAACTCATCGGACTCTTCACTACTAAGTCGGCGTCGACGTCGCCATCGCTCAAGGACTACATTGTTGACGTGCCCCTCGTGGGCATCTCCACGACCGAGAGCCGCAGGGCCGCCGCCGACGCCGATCGGCCGCGGCCGCCGCTGACCTTCACCCGCCTTCACGAAGCGTCGACACAGACAACAACAACTGTCGACACACGAGGCACCGCCACCGCGGACAACTCGCAGCCGTGCCAAACCGACGAATCGGAAGAGGCGGGCGCCGACCCGGCCAATCAGCAATGCGGCACCGGTGGTGATGGCGATGATGAAGAAGACGACAGCAGCGGCAATCGTGCTGACGGTGCCGACGCGGAGCGAAGTGGTGGTGTCGACGAAGGCGAAGGCGCGGATCGGGTCGAGCTGCGGCTGTGGGACGACTTTGTGGTCACGGCCGACTACCAGGCCATCCGGGAGGCCATGGCCGACGGCGACACCAACGAAGCGGCGGCGACCGGAAGTGCGACGGGCGAGACGGAATGGCGCGTGACGGCCGACGAGCTGGTCTTCCTCGGGTTCGGCATTCACGCCGAGCAGTGGTCAAGGAACGACTACCGAGACGCGGTGCGTGCCGTGCGTACCGTGCGTGCCGTGCGTGTCGTGCGTGCGTGCGTGCGTTGTCCATAGACTCACCTCTTCACGAAATGCGTGGGCAGGACGGCGGGGAGGTGGATATCCGGGGCAAGCTGGTGGTGTGCTTCGTCAACGAGCCCCAGCCGACGGAAGACCAGCCCGACCTCTTCGAGGGCAGCAAGCTCACCTACTACGGTACTCTTTGAATTCCTTTGCATTTCTATTTTATTTATATTTATATTTATTCATTCCATTTTATTTCTATTTTATAATGTTATATATAATATTGATATATTAATTTCTGTTGATGTTGCGTGTAGGACGATGGACGTACAAGGTGGAGGAGGTGCGACGAAGAGGCGCACGAGGCATCTTCCTCATCTACACGCCCGACACGGCCGGCTATCCCTTCACGTAGTGCCCCCCCTCTCTTTCCCAAGCCTTGAAGACTTCTTGCGTTCACCACCAACTAATCACCAACCAACCACCCATCATCACCACCGCCAGGGTGATCTCCAACAACCGGGAGCCGCTGCAGGTGCCGGCCAAGCGATTCAACGTCGGACTGGAGGTGGTGGCCTGGCTCACCGAGGAGTCCGCTGCGAGTCTCGCCCGCCTCTGCGGTAGCACTCTCGCCGTACGTTTCCTGGCGCATCACGCACACACGCACACCACCGCACGCGCAACACGACACGCACGACACGCACGACACACGACACGTTTGACATTGCTTGTGTTGTGCAACAGGAGTGGTACGATGCAGCGGTGTCTCCCGACTTCGTGGCGCGTCGACTCCCCGTGGCGACGTCGCTCGACGTGGTGTTGGGCGTGCGCAGCTTCAAGGCCAAGAACGTGGCGGGCCTGCTACCGGGCGAGACCAGCGAGTGCATCCTCATCACCGCTCATCACGGTACCCACGCCTTGCACGAAAACAATTAAGTAATAAGTTATAAACCATTAGTAATAATTATAAATAAGTAAATAATAACGGAAATAGAAATCAACTTACTTATCTAGGCACATAACAGATCACTTGGGCATGGGACCACCGGGCGACAGCGACCAGGACCGTATCTACAATGGAGGTTGGACGTGTTGTGTGTGTCGTGTGTCTGTGTGTGTGTGTCGTGTCGTGTCGTGTCGTGTCGTGTCGTGTGTCGTGTGTGGACTACTGGATCCAGTAGAGAGAGCTGTTTACTAAACTGGCGTTATGTTTGCAGCGGTCGACAATGCAAGCGGGGTGTCAATGATGCTGACGCTGGCGCGTGCCCTCGCACAGCACCGGGGCACCTTGAAGCGATCTTTCCTCTTTGTGAGCCTCACCGGCGAAGAGGCCGGCCTCATCGGCGCTCAGGTACCCACTATGCGCTTGTGTGTGCGTGCGTGTGCGGCCGTTGCGTGCGTGCGTGACTTCTGGTAACGATGCACACCGCTAGAGGTTGGAGTGGAAGTTGAGGAAGATGAAAAGAGGAAGAGGAGGAAGAAGAAGGGGAAGGGGAAGAAGATGTGGAAGACGAAGAAGAAGAAGAGGACAATTTGTGGATGGGGAGATGAGCAGGTACATGTGGTGAGCTGTGGCCCGCGCGAGCGACGCCAAGCTCACGACACACGATACACGACACGATACACACGATACACACGACACACAGGCATACGTGGCCAACCCACCGGTGCCGCTCACGCGTACCCTGGCCAACATCAATTTTGATATGCTCAACCTGGACGGCCTGACGCTGGACATCGTCGGTCTGGGCAGCGACGAAACCAAACTTGGCCGCATGTTCACCGCCGCCGCGCACGCCGAGGGTACGCGCATTCTTGGCATTACGCGCACGCACTCGCACTCGCACTCGCACTCACGACGCACACGACGCACACGACACACGACACACACGCACTCACGTCGCACGACACAACACGCGTGTGGCAGGTATGAGCGTGAGCGGCGACCCGAACCCGGGCCAGGGCAGTTTCATTCGGTCGGACTCGTGGGTGTTCCACAAGGCCGGCATTCCCTCCATCTACCCGTGGACCGGCAAACACTTTGTCGGCCGCCCGTCCGACTACGCCGCCACCCGCAAGTACGTCGCGTGCGCGTGCTATGTGTCGTGCGTCGTGTTGCTCACGCGTGTGTGTGCGGTCGTGTGTGTGTGTATGTGTGTGTGTGCGTGGTGTCAGGGCGTGGTACGTGAAGACCAAGTACCACGGACCCGGCGACGAGTACGACCCGCGGTGGTCGCTGGCCGGCGCGCTCCAGCAGGGCCGCGTGGCTCTCCGCCTGGCCTACGCCCTCGCCACCTCGACCCGCCCGCTCAACGTCGACGCCGACGAGCTTATCAACCTCGGCAACCTCGCCTCCGCTGTACCCCCACCCCCCCTTGTGCCCTCTCCTTTCTTTTCTCTTAATTAACACTTGTGTGTCGTGTGCGTGTGTCGTGTCGTGTCGTATCGTTGTGTGCGTGTTCCAGTGAATGTGTGTTGGAATGCAAACAATTGTTTAAATTGTTAGAATTGTTGGGTGGGTTCAGGACGGTTCGGCAAAGAGGGACACGAGGGGCGGCAGTCGCACAGCGCCGCACCGTTCGCCCGCGGGCAGCGGCAGCCACGTCGTCGACATTAATGGCGCTGATGGCGATAATGACGACAATGGAGAAGGAGAAGAAGAAGAGAATGGAAGAGAAAGAGAAGCGGAAGAGAGCGGATAGGAGAAGTGGAGGAGACCGGCCGTCGAGCTGCTGCTGCCGCCGAAGGTGCTCTCTTCGTTCTTTTGTGTCTCTTTCCCGTCGTTTTCGTCGCCGTCTTCGTTCTTTTCGGTCTTCACCGTCACCGTCGTCGCCGCCATCGTCGTTTTCGGCGACTCTCGTCGTGTCGACTGCCGACACAGCGAAGCTCTTCTTCGCGTGGCCGCGGCGCAGCCGACCGCGGCCGTGGCCGATGACGTGGCAGCCGTCGTTCGTCGGTGGTGGCGCTGGGCCAGGAGGATTTGCCGCTGGATCTGGAGGAGCAGGTACTGGTGCTGCCTGTGCTGCTGGACCTGGACGAGCTTGCACGCCGCATCACCCGGTGCCGCTTCGCCTCGCCAGCTTCGCGTTGCTGCTGCTGATGGTGGTGGTACTGATGATGGTGATGGTGATGGGGATGATGATGTAGACGTGGAGAGGGCGGCCGCCATCTCGTGGCGTCGCACGCGCTTGGCCTCGCGGACCTGGGCCTCGATTCGCTTGAAGCCGTCCTCGGTGCCGCGCTGGCAATGGCCGGCCTGCTCCCTCTTCCTCTTCTGCAGCCGCTGTACCAGTACGTCCTCTATCTTCATTGTTCTGTTGTACACACAACACATATACATAACTTATTATTAGTTATCTCTTTCTATTTATATTATTTATATTTATTATTCTGATTGTCTCTACGTGCAAGAAGAAGAAGGTGGTGGAGGTGAAGGTACCTTTGTGATGTGTTGGTGTGGTGTGTGACGGAATGATGATAACAAAAACGCTGTTCTGGTGTGTGTTTGGTTTTTATGAGAGGGGATGCGGGATGTGGTACGGTTGTATATGCGAGTCGTGTAGCTGATTGGGCGAGAATGGGGTATAGTAGGAGAGTACCTGCGTGCGCGGTTGGCAACACCACCAGATGACGTCGTCCAGCACACGCCCGCGAACTCCTACGCGCTCGGCCTGGGCAGAGTGACCACTCGAGGGGCCTGTATGACCTCTCTCCTGTGCAACACGAGGCCTCGAGCTTGCTCGCCGATAGGCTCGTTTTTATCTCAAGTGATTTCCGCCTGTGCGACGAGTCGAGCTTGGTGGGATAGGTGATGCTGTGAGGCCTCGAATTCGATGTTCGCGTAGAGCGGTTCGACGGCTCGTGGTGTCTGCGGAAACCGTGGCTACCGACTACACCGTCCACTTCGACCTGGTACCGCAAGGTTGTTGGGAGGTCGGCTTCTCGTGGAGGCTTCTTCTTCGCACACCATGTGGCACACGTTCCGGGACCAGTGCCGCCGAGTGCCATACTTCCAAGTGTCGCACAGAAGCGGAAGTACACCGTTTCCGACTTCTGTTTCGTTTCGTTTTTGTTTCGCAAATGAATTTCATTTTCACGCGGCAGAAAACAGAAAAGAAAATCACCCACCCCAACCAAAGTTGTTTTGACACGTCCGCGACCTTGGGCGCTGTGGCACAGACAAGATGAGAGGCGTGGTGGTGCTGGGTCCGCGGGGCGTGCTGACAGTGGCCGCGGTGCTCCTCCTGCAGAGCGGGATCATTGGCTACCTCCTCTACCGGAGCGCCTCTGGGCTGGACGACTGCACGGACCTGCCGGGCCTCGGCCGGCCCCTGCCCCTCGCCTTCCTCCCTCCACAGCAGCAGCCGCCACCACTCGGCGACCCCGACGACGGCCGCGGCCCGCGGGACGCGCCGCCCCCCACTTTCGAAAAAAAGGTTCTTCATTTTATTTCTCTATTTATTTTTATACTATTTTGAGATTGCTGTTTTATATAATTAATTTGATTATTTATTTTTTTGGGAGATTATTCTTTATTGTATTTTAAAATTAATTGACAATAATGAATGGGAGGGCAGCCGGTGGTGATGGGCATGGCGACGGGCTACCGATGGGACGCCCTCCGCAACTTCGTGATATCCCTCCGCTACACGAACTTTGCCGTACGCTGCCCTTTGCCCTTTGCATGTGCGCTGTGTGTCGTGTGTGTCGTGTGTCGTGTCGTGCGGCATGTTCAACACAGAGAAGTGACACACACAAATGCGTACGTGCAGGGCGATGTCGTGCTGTTCGTCTCGCAGGAGGCCCAATCCGACGACGACCTCATGCAGCGATTACGGTACTTGCTCCCCACTCTACATTCAAGCGTGTGCGGCCATGCGTGTGTGTGTCGTGGTGTGTCGTGGTGTGTCGTGTGTTGTGGTGCGTGGGCGGGTCAGCTGCATTCAACTGACGAGCTGTGTGCGATTGCACACAGATTCTACAATGTGACAACGGTGGTCGTGAGTTCGAAGTTCCCCTACTTCGAGAAGGGCTCACTGCCGCACCTGATGGTCGAGCGCCTGCTGTTCCCGCCCATGCCGGAGCTAAAAGCCATGAATCGGAGGTAAACTCCCTTGACCCAAGCACATCTTCCCCCCCCCCGCGCTGTTGGCTGATTGGCCTTCTTCCCAGATTCCACATCATGCAGCTGTGGCTGACGGCCTACGGGAGCTTCTATGACTGTACGTCTGATGACACACACGGCACACACGGCACACACGGCACACACGGCACACACGGCACACACGGCACACACGACACACACGACACACACGACACACGACATACGATGACACGACACACACGACCCACACGACACACGATGATACACACGCGACTGACAGCGGTTGGGCTGGGCAGATGTGCTGATCACGGACACGAGAGACGTGGTCTTCCAGAAGGATCCCTTCGACTGGGCGCACCCCAGTACGCTCCCCCCCCACATGTTAATGTTATGAACAATAACACATTGGTGTGTGTCGACAGACGAAAAGATAATCTGTTCGGGGACGACGTTTGGGAGCACGGAGCAGATGCTGTGGTACCTCCAACGCATGAACGCCTGGATTGGCAAGGTCATCGACCGCCACAAACCTCGGTACCCCCTACCTCCCCCGTCCCTTTGATTTCTGATTGGCCTCCGGCGACAAGTGCTGACGTCATTTGGGGGGCTTGGGGGGTGGTGGGTGTCGACACAGGGAGCGGGAGGCGGGGGAGACGGTGGACCGGGACATCTTCGATCAGGCGGTCCACATGTACATCGTCTACCGGCTCGACTGGCACGACCGGCTCGTGCGCCTCGAAAACGCTCGCAGCCCCGTGCTCACCGTCGGCAGCTTCGGCGAATTCAAGACTCAGTCCCCAGTACTCTTCTTCGATTTGTGTCGTGTCGTTGGTCATGTCGTGCGTGTCGTGTCGTGTCGTGCCGTGCGTGTCATGTCGTGCTGTGTGTGTGTCTCACGTGGATGGACAGCCGCTGCAGGTGCTGAACGACGATGGGCTGGTGGCCAACGTGCTGCACCAGTACGACAGGTACACCGAGCTTGTGCAGACGTTCGATACCCGCCTGCGCTTCCTCGAGCGGCAAAGCTTCAACTTCCACGTCCCCCTCACCGCCGTCCAGGTCCGAAGCTGACCAAAATAGTAAAAAGGAAAATAAAAAGGAGGAAATCCTGGAGAAACTACACTTTTGTTCCAAGAAACAATTTTAGTAGAGGAGATTGATCAATCTGGGCGCGACAGAGGAGAAGAATGCAAGGGGGCGGGGGTCTGCCGTCGAGTTCGATCATGTTGAGCCTGGGTTCTTTCAAGCGGGGTCGTAATACGACCAAGTCCATGTCCAGCATTCCCAACAACGGCCTCTGCAACACCAGCTTCCAGAATGTGCCGATGGTTGCCGCCCCCATGGTCGTTGCTGCCGCGCCACCGCCTCACCACCCGCCGCCTCATGTGGTTCCATCTTCTTCATCTGGCGCCAGCGGTCCGACGTCCGACGTCCGATCTCTTTCACAGCATGGCCCCCAATCGACAACGAATCGTCGACCATCTCCAAGTAATCTCTCTTCATCATCGCTGCACGCACCTACGAAGAGGCCTCGAATGGATCCATCCTTCGAACCTCTCTCCTCCACAGCTTCTTCACCTTCACCTTCACCTTCAACTCAGCTGAGTCCGTCCCCACCAAGTAGTGGTCCTCTCGCCGCCACCTCGGCCACCAGCCGACTACAAAACACGCAGCGACGCGCTCCCTCTTCGTCTTGTTCTCCTTCACCCTCGGCTTATTCATCTTCATCTTCTCTTCCGCCATTCTCCTCTGCTGCTTCTTCTGCTCCTTCCTGGTCGTCGCAGGCTCCGAGGCCAGCGGCACACGCCCGGGCCGCACCGACGTCCGTCGTCATGGGCGACGAAGGCGACGATGACGATCTCTTCTTTTCGCAAATCGCCGGCGAGCTGGATAGCCTCATCCCCGCTGGGCCTACTCCCACTCCTCCTCTTACTCAGACATTCGCTTCTTCTTCATCATCACCGTCGTCTTCTTCTTCTTCCCGCGTTGCGCCTCAACCGGCGCTCGCGTTGCCGTTCCCGTCGTCGTCGTCGGCGCCGTCTCTGGTTCCGCCGGTGGCGCGATCTTTTTCGTCGACGCTGGCCACGCCCACGAGCAGCATCAGCGCCATTCCGCTGCGCAGCCCCGCCCCGCAGCTGCTCCTCCCGCCCTCCGTCGACGCCTCGGTTCTCATTCCCCTCACCCATCGCTGTGCTTGGGCTCGTGCTGACGTCACGTGTGCTTGTGTGGATCTGCTTGTGTATGGCGTCGACACCCATCACCATCATCATCATCGTCATCAGGGGATGCACATCGGGTCGTTCAAGCGCAACTCCCGGTTCAACACGGGCATCATGACCATGCAGACGGCCGTGGCCAACGCCGCTGCTGTTGGCGCCGGCGCCGGCGGTGCTGCACTGGGCTCGTCCACGGTGGGCGGGCCGGCTGGTGGTGGACTCTCCCTGACCATGAGCATGAGCGGCGTCGGCGAAAGGTCAGTCCCGTGTGTCGTGTGTCGTGTGCGTGTGTCGTGTGCCGTGTCGTCCGTGTGCCGTGTGCGGCATGGTAGCTGACGATGTAGAGGCAGATGTCTGGACGTGGTGCCGGAGAAGTTTGCCAACGTGACCAAGGAGGACGTGCCCAACTCGCTCAAGTACTACAGCGACTTCTTCTCGATGCTCGAGGAGGAGTTCAACACCCTGCCCGACGCCGAGCCCGAGCCCTCCCCGCTCGAGAGCAACCCCGACCTGGCCCTCACCCACGAGCAGGAGCAGGTCCTGCAAATGGCCCTCTCCGGCATGTCCCTGTTCTTCACCGGCTGGTACGTTTTATTATTTACTATTTATTATTTACTATTTATTCTTGTCAATATTTTTAATTGAATATATGATGAATATTAATATTATTATATAATAGCGCGGGCACGGGCAAGTCGCTGCTGCTCAAGGAGATCGTGGCTCGCCTGCGCAAGGTTCAGCCGCCCGGAACGGTACCACTCAAACTCAACGCAACGCAACGCAACGCAACGCAACGCAACGCAGCGGAGATTGATGCGGGTCGTGTGCAGGTGTATGTGACGGCGTCGACGGGTATCGCCGCGTGTCAGGTGGGCGGCATCACGCTGCACACGTTCGCCGGCGTCGGGCTGGCCAAGTACAAGGCCGAGAGCCTGGTCTTCAAGGTCAAAAAGGACCCCGTGGCCGTGAAGCGGTGGCGCAAGGTCAAGGTCATCGTCATCGACGAGGTGCGCCTCACTCACCAATCATAGCTCATTGCGTCACACACGCACGACAACAGCACACAACCAACAAACCGCACACGCACACGCACACGCGCCACCGCACACGCACACATATGTAGATTTCGATGCTGGCGGGCGAATTCTTCGACAAGGTGGAGTACGTGGCGCGGAAGATCCGGGAGGACGAGCGACCGTTCGGCGGCATCCAGGTGGTCCTCTGCGGCGACTTCCTGCAGCTGCCGCCCGTCATGGCCAAGCACCTGTGCTTCGAGTGCGAGTGCTGGCCTCGCGTCGTTCAGAAATCCGTGGAGCTCACTCAGGTGACCGCACACGCACACACACCACGCACGCACGCACACCACCACGCACGCACACCACACACACACGCACACAGGTGTTGACGTGGAGGGGTGGCTGCACAGGTGTTCCGTCAGTCGGAGACCGAGTTCATCAGCCTGCTCAACGAGATCCGCGTGGGCAACGTATCGTTCGACACCCGATCGAAGCTCGAGGAGTGCGTGCGCCGCTCGATGAAGCGCAAGCAGGTCGACGACCAGCTCCGACAGCTGAAGCGGATGACCAGCAATACGCAGCAGGCCGCCGCGCGTGCGACAACCGAGCGACGAGGCGGCCGCGGCGCTGAAGAGAACGAAAACGAAAACGACGAAGACGAGCCCTACGATGCGTACTACGACGAGTTCGGTGGATTTGGAAGCGGCAATGCGGCCAAGCGTTGGTGCGGCGAGGCAGGGAGGAGGTGCCGCGAGACGAAGACATCCCGCCGACGCAGCTCTTCCCCACGCGGCGCGAGGTGGCCCACAGGAACCACGAGTGCCTGGCCGCGCTCCCCGGCAAAAGCGTACGCTCGCGTTTGCGTTTGCGTTTGCGTTTGTGTTTGCGTTTGGAGCTGACTTGTGGGAGGGTGGGGGTGGTGCGTGGTGTACATCAGTACTTCTTTAGGGCTGTGGACGAGGGCAAGGAGCCCTTCCTGGGCAAGCTCCAGAAATACTGCCCCGCGCCCGAAACACTCGAACTCAAGGTGGGCGCCCAGGTAACGCCTCCCTCTCTTTCGTGTGCCAACGCACGCACGCACACGCACACGCACGACCGCACCCACGCCCGGGCACGCGGTACTCACTCCCAAGTGCCGCGCTCAGGTTATCCTCCTAATGAACCTGGCCTTCAGCGGCGGACTCGTGAACGGCGCCCGCGGAGTCGTCACCGGTAAGCAACCTACCCATTGCCTTGTGTTGTGTTGTGTTGCGTTGACGCCAATCGGCGACGCGGTCGTTTGCTGATCGGCGCCGGCCTGCCCATTGCTGCTGCTGTTGTCGGTTTGCGATACGTTGGGTGTCCTCATCAGGGTTCGCGAGCGATTCGAGCGAGGTGACGGTGGCGGGCCGCACGAGTTCGTCGGGCAAGGCCAAGCGGAAGAAGGTGGTCCTCGACGCCACCTACTACCCCGTCGTGCGCTTCACCACCGGCCTGGAACGGTTCGCTTCTTCTCCTCTCCAGTTGCCCCACCCCCCGCGACCACTTGCCAAACTTCTGTGTCGTGTGCGCTCGTGTCGTGCTTCGCGTGCTTGTCGTGCGTGTCGTGCGTGTCGTGCGGTGCTTGCAGGATCATTTTGCCGGAGGAGTGGAAGTCCGAGGTGGGACCCAAGAAGGTGGCCTCGCGCACGCAGATTCCGCTCAACCTGGCCTGGGCGCTCTCCATCCACAAGTCCCAAGGTACGTACCACCACTTTAGCTAATCTCGCACGCGCGCACGCACGCACACGCACACGCATGCGCACGCGCTTGCGCTCGGCGTCCTCACGAACATGCACACACGCACGAACGCACACACGCAGGGATGACGCTGAGCAAGGTGGAGATGAACCTAAGCCACGTATTTGCCTACGGCCAGGCCTACGTCGCCCTGTCCCGGTACTGATGATGACGATGCCTTCTTCACTTTCTCCCATGGTCGACGCCACGTACTTACGCAACCCGGACCCACCAAACAGAGCCCAGAATCTGGAGGGCCTCTACCTGATGGGCTTCGAGGCGGGCAAGGTGAGAGCGCACCCCAGGTACATACGCACGACACGCACGCGCACGACACGCACACGCACGACCGCACACGCACGGCTGGTCACGGAGATCTGTAACTAATCGGCGGCATTCAGGGTGCTGGAGTACTACCGGCGGTTCTCGTCGTCGGTCGCCCTCAGACGCACCGGTCCATCGCAACCGCGACCATCGTCGTCGTCATCGTGGTCGGCGGCTTCGTCTTCGTCGTCATCTTGGCGCGCGCCGGCGTTGGCGCACGAAGAGCCGGTGGCCGCGGCTGCCGACTTCGAGGCCGACGAGCGGCAGTACCGCGAAGCGTGGGCTGATGAAGACGAGGTCACGTGGGAGTGAGATCACCGGCCGCTGACGGTACTGGCGTGTGCGTTCTCGACGTCATCACGCACTGACGGCCAGGTTATGGAAGGCGCCACGCAGATAACGGACCAAAAGAGCACCAACCAATCAACACGTAAGCTGACCACCTGGCGCTCTGTTTTCGGATTGGTTGACCAGCAAATTAACTCCAAAGGATACCAATCAGATTCAAACTGATTAGCCCGCAATTACCAAACGACCAATCCCAGCGATGGTGTTACCCCGTTGGGCGCCTGCCGGGTGCCCATTTATTAGCTTACGCCCAGCCTCTCCCGCACACTTTGTACTATCCACTACACCACCACAACAAGAGAGTTACTTGAAGAGCGAAAGCCGATAAAAAGATGCACCACCGTCATCTTTTCGGTTTCGTCTTCGTTCTTTTCTGCGTCGTCGCGGCCGCGCTAGTGCCACGCGCGGAGGCCTACGGCGAGCCCGTCTCCAGCCGCCCCTCCTACCAGGAACGCACCGTGGGTGCCCTCATCAACGCCGCACGCGTCGGTACCGCTCTCTTCTCTCTTTCGCCCACACAGCAACTTTAGATCGCCAAGATGTAAGAGAGCTGCTGACGTGTACTTTTTTATGTGCTCCTTGCATACCAGGTCCGTCCGGGTTCGCGGCGGCCTACATGGCCACGGCGGGCTACCCGGCGTCGGGCATCGCCGACGGGCTCCCCGCGCAGCTGCCGCTCTACTTCGACCCCAAGCTCTCCGAGGCCGCGTCGGGCCACTCCCAGGACCTCGCCGTACGGCCACCCGCCCGCGCCCCCGATTCAACTGTGGTGGTGACTCACCGCCGCGTGTCGTGTTGCGCGTGTCGTGTCGTGTGTCGTTGTTTTCCTGCTGTAGAACAACTGCCACGCGGTTCAGTTCAATAGCTGCGACGGCACCGCGTGGTACACTCGCGTGCGCAACATCTACAGCTGCACTGGGTACGCGCCACACCGCGGCGCCGCGCGCTCTGGTGCGGGTGTTGTGTTTGAATCATAACATGCGGGTGTGGCGTGACGCCAGACTCGTGGGCGAGGGCCTGCAGTACGCCTACAGCGGCGACCCGCTGACGGCCGTGAGCGATGGCGTCTGCGGGTGGAACCAGGACGCCAGCGGCAACTACGTCTGCTGTCCCGGTATACTGCTCTCGCGCTCTTGCCCTCTGATTCACTTTCATTGCTAAACTCACACGACCGCACACGCACAAACGTTGATTCAACGCAGCGAGTGGCAAGACCAGCAGCGGCAGCACGTGCAATGGACTGCGCAACATGTACCTGTCGTCGAGCTACAGCCGCTTCGGCGTGGGCTACGGCGCCGACGCCCAGACCGGCTACTACTACTGGTACGTTCGTTTTCTCTCTCTCTTTCTCACGCCCGTGGCTGACTGGAATTCCGTCGCTTCGCGCTTCGTTCTTTTGCGCATTCCTTCCTCTCAACTAGGACGACCGACTACGGCGCGTGCAACACGGAGACCTACGCCAATCCGATCGCGTCCGGCTCGCACCTGATCCAATCGGGCAACGTGCGGTTCTTCGCGGCCTACTACGACGCCGTCGGCGCGCCCCAGAGCGCCAAGGTCTTCGTCGGCGGCTCGCCCCTCGACCTCGCCCTCGACGCCGGCACCGGCAACCAGGTAACTAGACTTTTTTTTTTAACTCCGAATCACTGCCGCGGCCGGCTGACGTGTGCTGGTTGCAGGGTAACTACTACGCCGTGTCGGCGGCCGGGAGCGGGTGCAGGTCGTACTACTTCCAGTTCACGTCGGCCAGCGGCGGCGTCTACCGCCTCCCGGAGACGGGCTACTTCAACACCTTTGGCGAGGGCTCGTGCTCGACCGACTGGACCTCGACTCCCGGTTCGCCCCGCTTTTCTTCATTCGCCCTTCCTCTTTTTCGCCCCGCAATGCTGACGTGGACTGTTGCCTGTGGGGGGGCGGGGCGGGGCGAAAAAGTGGGTGGAACGGTGACGACCGTGCCGGATCCGCCCCAGAATGTGGCGGTGAGCGGCGTCACGACGTCGTCGGCCACCATCTCGTGGGCGGCCCCGGCCACCGACGGCGGCAGCGCCCTGACCGGCTACACCGTCTACATCCGGGCCTACGGCACCGAGTTCCCCGCCGAAGTCACTGGCGGCACCAGCATCACCTTCACCGGTTCGTCACCCAAACCGCACACGCACACACTCATATACGACACGCACGCACTCAAATGACACGCACACACGCGCGCGTGTGCGGTTTGTTTAGGAATCTCGCCGGGCACGTCGTGTTCGGTGGTGGTGGTGGCGCACAACGCGGTGGGCTCGAGTGCCAACTCGACCGAGGCCACCTTCATCACGCTGGTGGTGACCGACCCGTCGCCGGCCGCCTCGCCATCGCCCTCGCCCGCGGCCCCGTCGCCCAGCGCCACCCCGTCGTCCACCCCGCCGCCCGGCGTCTCGGCCACCCCCTCGAGCGCTCCGTCGCAGTCGCCGTCGCCCTCGGCCTCGCCCGCCAGCAACGGCCTCCCCGCCTGCAACAGCGCCTCGTGCCGTGCGTGCTCCCCCCCCACACCGCGCGCCGTGTGCCGTCGTATCGTGTCGTGTCGTGTCGTGTCGTGTCGTGTCGTGTCGTGCTGACGCGTGTTGTGTGCGCAGTGCCGGCGTCGTTCGACTTCCACCAGCAGACCGGCTGCTTCGCCGGCATTCTCGACCAGGGCCAGTGCGGCAGGTACGCTTCGCTCCACTCTGTACGCGTGTGCGGTACTCCGCGCGTGTCTTTCTCTGACCGCACGACACGCGCCGCCACGCGACACGACACGCGTCGAGCAGCTGCTATTCGTTCTGCGTGGCGAGCGCGAACGCCGACCGTGTGTGCTACGCGCAGGGCGCGCGCCCGGTGCTCTCGCCGCAGGAGATTCTCGACTGCGGGAAGGGCTTCGTGTGGTTCGGCGCGACGGGCTGCAACGGCGGCGACCCCTACCGCGCGGCCCAGGTGGTCCGCGACAACGGCCTCCCGTCGGCCTCCTCCACCGCCCTCTCGGCCGGCTGCCGCCGCTACCGCTGCTACAACGGCAACTGCGACGCCACACCCACCTGCAACGTACGCCGTCCGCACTCGCCCACCGCACTCGCGCGTCGCACTCACCGTGCGTGTCGTGTCATGTGTGTGCAGTCGGGTTGCGATGATGGGTCCAGCGCGCAAAAGTACAGGGCGTCGAGCGCGTACCGGGTGACGGGAGTGGACAACACGCGGCTGGAGATCTACAACAACGGACCGGTGACGGCCATCTTCGACGTGTGCCAGAGCTTCTACGACTTCTACAGCGACCGCAACAACGCCGGCAAGGTCTGGCCGGGCACCTGCTCGTCATCGGCGTCGGACTACGTCGGCGGCCACGCCATCGCCGTCGTCGGGTACACCACGCAACACACGCATGACCGCACGCGCGCGCGCAACACGCGCACTTACGCCGGTTGGTGCGTTCGTACGTGTGTGTGTCTCATAGTTGGGGTACGGACGTCAATGGTGTCGACTACTGGCTCATCGAGAACTCGTGGAGCACGCAGTGGGGCGACAAGGGTACGCACCACACGACACACGACACACGACACACGACACGACACACAAACATGCAGCACGACACTCACGGCGTGGCCCGCGCCGCCACAGGCTACTATCGTATGAAGCGGGGCGTGAACCAGGCGGGCATCGAGGGCTACGTGTCGGCTGCCGGGTTCACCCGCACCAACAAGCGCTTCGGTGGCGTCTCGGCTGCGGCGGCCGACTCGGGCACGCCGAACACCCCCGCCGGCGCCCCGGTCACCGCGCCCACCGACCACCCCGTGACCCTGCGCAGCTCCCAGTACGCGCTCGAGCTGTGGCACTTCAACGCCCACAAGGATGACTACGCCGGCAAGTCGCTGGCGCTGCCCACCAACGACAACAACAACGCGACTACGAAGCGGCAATCGGCGGCGGCGGCGCAGCCGGTGGGCTCGCTGACGACCCACTCGGGCTTCGCGGTGTCGAGCGTCAACCAGGCCACGCTGCAGGTCACGTCGGGCCAGAGCGTGTTCGTCGACTTTGTGGCGACCAACGGCGCCGAGACGGTCAACCTCGTCGCCACGGTCAGCTACGGCGCTGCCGGGGGTGCCGCCTCTGCCGCGGGTGTCAGCGTCGGTACGTCGTGTCGTGTCGCTGTGTGTCGTGTCGTGCGTTGTGTGGTGTGTGCGGTCGTGTCTAACTTGGTTGTTTTTCTCGTGTGTAGCGTCGGCTGGTGGCGGCGCGGTGCTGAGCACGGGAGCGATCATCGGCATTGCCGTGGGCGGCGCCGTGGCTGTGGTGCTGCTGGCGGGCGTGACCGCGGCCGTCGTGGTGGGCGCCGTCGCAGTCTACAAAAAGAGGCAGGCCCACGAAGCCTTCAACTACGGAGACCACGCCGTCGAGGTACGCACACGCACACGACACATACACGACACAACACACGCACACGCACGCACACAATCGCACAACAAGCGGGGGTGCTCACGCTGATGGTGGGATCTGGCCAGATGGAGGCCCAGGGTGGTGGCATGGCGGCGGCGCCTGCGCCTGCGGAGGAGAGGAAGGCCAAGCGATCGACGTGGTTCGAGCGGAGGAAGCTCTTCCAGTCCATCACCGGGCGCAGCCCGCCCGTCCGCGTTGACAACTAAGCGAGAGCTCCACCACCTTCTTCTTCCTCCTGTATTCTACATCTATTTATTTCAATTATTTATTTCAATTATTTATTTTATTTATTGCTGTGTTCTGTTTGCTGTTCAAACAGTCGTGGGCTACTCCAGCAGAATCACCGGCTCGTCGCCGGGAGCAGAAGCGATAGCTGGCCCATCCTGGCTCGAGCAGGGCACCAGACGGGTGTAGTCGAGCTCAAGGTCCCTGAAGCTGTGTGGGTTGCCGCCGATGATGTAGCACATCACCGTTGAGTCGTCGTCGGCGACGGTGAAGGCCGGCGTGCGGACCAGCACCCAGCCCTTGCCGACCCACGGCGCCAGCAGCTGCTTCGCCTGGTCCTTGTCCTGCTTGAAGCTGGCCAGCTTACCGTCCGCGCCGAAGAGGCCGTCGAGCTTATGCACGTCGGCCGCGCGGTGCTCGGGCGCCAACGCGAAAACGCTCCAGTCGGCCGTGAAGTCGACCGCTCTGGCGGACGCAAAGCGCATGCGCCACTCCGCACGGTAGCGGCCGCGCGGCACCCAGCGGACCAGCGTTCGGATCTCCAGCCAGAAGACGTACTTAAGGTGGTAGACGCGGCCGCGGGCGGACGGCGCGTTCACCTCGCACCAGTGCTCCCCGTCGAGCCACACCACGCAGTAGGCCGTGGAGTTGAGGTAGAGGCGCGAACGCAGCATCGCCAGCGGGTCGCGCAGCAGCAGCGCTCGAACGCTCTCTGGAGCCGCGTCCAACGTGTGGCCCTGGCAGAGCTTGGCCGCCCATGGCCCCCACAGCGCCTTCGGGTGGTGGGCCAGGAGCAGCAAGCGCATGCGCGTGGACACGCGTGACAGGGCGACGAGTGCACGGAAGGGGAGGAAGGAGGCCAGATGCACCACAAGCTCGGGGAAGAGGCCTTGCAAGGTCAGCTGCTGCTCGTGTTCGAGAGGCTGGCTGTCTTCGTCTGTGATTGGGGGGGGGGCTGGGTTAATAATAACCAATCCATTAAGGCCAGAGCGCCAGCAAAGCTCTACCTTTTCCCACAAATAAAGGGCTTCGGTCAGCTAAGCGCTGCTCCTCCCTTGTCCACCATGTGGATGCGGTTTGGGTCGTAGCGGTAGTCCTGGAGGAGGGTGAGGCGGACGTCTTCTTCCGCTTTGGCGAGTCTTGCCCCGAGGTGGCCGGTGCCTCCTCCGCCACGCCGCTCGTCCTCTTCATCTTCTTGCGGCAGGAGGATTAAAAAGTTGCACAACCAAAGTTTCTGGTGGGTATTAATAATAAATTTTGAAACTTTTCCTGGTAGGGTTGGAGCAGTGCTGTAATAAATAAATAACAATATTAATTAGGTGTCCAGAATTTGACGGGAATCGAACCAGCGAAAAGGAGGCGGAAAGTGGGGAGGACGGGGCAGAGAAGGAAGCTGATGGCACCCTGTTGGTCGTGGAGTGGTTAGAGTGACAGACATAGAGCGCACGGGGAAGGACTGAATGACCACCCTTTCACCCCCCGGCTCAGAAGATGACAGTACAACCACAACACCAACAACAACATCAACTGCAGCAAGACCCAAGGAGCTAAGAGAGAATGAGCCGCGGCGGAAAGATGATAGTCGAGATCGAGACGCTGCCCTTCCCCGAGGGCAACTCCAGGAACAAGTACCACAACGTGGAGGAGGCCATCTCCATCGTTGAGAAGTCGGGACTCAAGTACGAGGTGAGCCCTCTCTGCACCACCCTTGAAGGTACGTCGCGCGTCACCTTCATCAACGCCTTCTTCATGAAGCAGACAGTACCACAGAAGAAGAAGGAGGCGACCTACCTTTGGTTGGATCGTGTACAGGGAGCCCCGACGAGGTGTGGAGCGTGCTGAGGCGCATGCACGAGGCCACGCTCCAGGCGGGCGCCGAGAAGGTCCACACGAACATCAAGCTGTGCCAGGCCGCGCAGGACTCCAAGTACAGCGAAGACAACATCGAGAGCCTGACGAGGAAGTACAGAGGACAGACCAAGCCCACGGGCATGTAGTGATTCACCAAGCAAGACAGCAGCCAAGCAAGCTGGAGGAGACGAGAACTCGTTGAAGATTGAGAGCCTCTCCACTAAATAGAGATTCATTGCTCCAAACCACAAACAGAGGAGAGGTACGGTCGCCAAGCACCCTATGTCGAGGAAGCGGCCGTTGATGAAGGAAAGACTAAATCTGCGTACGCAAATGAAAGCGTAAGGGGGCTGAAGATCAGAAGAATGGAGCGAGAGAAACGACTACGTACCATACAGAGCCGAAGAAGTCGGGCTTTATGGGTTGAAGAGGGGAGCAAGCTGGCCCTCCTCTTCGAGCATGAGCGCCTCATCGTAGCCCTGGTCAGACGAGGGCGAAGATTTCATTCAGATCACGTGCCTTAGAAACTGAAGCATTGCGGGCAAACGTACGCCAATGAACTTGCCATTGATGAAGAGCTGGGGCAGCTTCCTCTGGCCGCTCCTCTGGTGCATCTCCAGCGCTTGGGCTCATCGCTGGCGACGTCGAAGCAGTCGTACTTTACCTTCTTCGTATCAAGCAGGAAGATGAGCGACTGCTGATCCTTCTTCACGGGCAGCGAAGCCGTGGCAGTCGTCATGAAGAGCTCCACCGGCACCGTGTTGCCGCACTGCTTGGCAGAAACGGAAGGGGCAACGTAAGCCATCTCTATCTCAGTTGGTCGATCGAAGTGGTGGATGTAGAGATGAAAACAGAGAGCGTTGCGCCGTGGGTGCAAGCTCGCGCAGGCGGATTTTGCCGGCAAAAACCGGAATGTCAGGCATTTCGAAGCTATTTCCTTATTTGAGCCAAAACGCAAGTTTAGGCAGCGCCTGCACAACGTTGGGGGAGGGTGACGTCACCTGGTGAGCTGGCAACCGCAGAAGGGCGCAAACAACTCTCACTCACACCTTGCTTGAACCTCCACAACGGCACACACTTCTTATCAACCACTCCCAAACAGCGGCCGGTATGCAGCTGTCCTGGTGCTTCCTATTCTCCCTCTCGTTCCTTTTTCTGCTGAGCCTCTGCTCCTTCTCCCGAGCAGGTGCGTGTGCCTCCTCTTGCAAGCGCAGCAACCTTCATTCCCTCTTTTCTGCCTTCTTGTGTAAAGCGACAGAGGCAGCGGGACTTACTTCCACCTTCTTGCAGAAGATCTAGATGAAGTGGTAGTGGAAACCGACGCGGCGGTGGACTACGACCAGCCTATCGAGTGGCAAGACGTCAACGACGAAAAGGAGGAGGAGAAGTGTGACGTCCGCATGAACGGCTTGTGCTTCGAAGACCTGGAAGAGGCCACCCAGGCCCTCGCCCACGGCCGACAGGCGGACAAGCCGAAGACGCCGCAGGGCAGCAGCGCCAAGTTCCACTGGAGCCCCAAGAAGGTGGTCATCGAACTCAAGAGCGGCACCATCCACCGGGGCAACTTCGTCCTGCGGGCCGACCGCGACCTCAAGTCCCTCATCATCACCACCTCTGACTCTGGTGCGCATTGCCTCCTACTGTGTGTGTGCGTGTGTGTCGTGTGTGTGTGTGTGTTGTGTGTGTGTGTGTCGCATGTCGAACAAAGCTGACGCACGCATTGGCTGCTGCGCAGGTCGTGCGATCATCGACTGCGGAGACAACCGCAAGGCCGGCCTGACGTTCGAGAACGTGATCAACTCGACCACCCTGGCCAAGCTCGAGGTGCGCCGCTGCTCGCCGGCGCTCCACTTCGCCCCGAGCTTCGCCGGCGAGCGGATCTCCGTACGGCGCTCGTACTTCCACGGCAACGCGCCCGACCCGGTCCACCAGACCATGTCGCTGCTGATCGAGTCCCACAAGCCGTTCGACCACCCCGACAACGGCATCCCGCTGCGCTACACCGACGCCCATGTGCGCGAGGTGTGGCTCTCCGAGGAGGTGGGCCTCACCCAGTTCCCGATGCAGCTGTCCCGCGAAGATCAAGACCTCGTCGCGCGGCTCGACGTGGTGGTGCGCAATTCGCTGTTCAAGATGGTGCTGCAGCCCGAGAACAGCACCGAGGCGCCGGGCGAGGGCATGATCGACTGGGACAACGGCATGGACTACTACCTGAACAAGATCTACAAGAAGGTGGGCGTCAAGACCGACGACTACATGATGCGGGGCAGGACGCACATGCTGGCGCAGCGGCGGATCAGCGGCCGAGGGCTGGACAGCTACTGGGACATCGACCCGCCGTTCCGCCCCAACGAGGTGAACCACAACTCGCCCGGCTTCCGCCGCATGCTCGCCCAAAACGGCATCTACTGAGCCTGATCGCACACACCGCACACGACACGACACGACACACGCACACGCGCGCGCGAGGCGCAACTGATGTGGATGATGTTGTTTGTTATATTATGATAACATAAAGAAAAGATGAAGAAGATGAAGAAGAAAAGAGGGGTGGAAGGGAGGAAGGGACCGGGAGAGGCAGCTGTGACGACGATGCGAGTGAAGTCATCACTTCTTGGCGAAGGAGACGACCATGAGGTGCGTGGGCGTGATCTTGAAGTGCTGCAGACCGGTCATCGCCACGGCAGCCTCCATCTCCGAGTTGAACTCCACGAACGCGATGCCCTGCTTGCCCGGCACCATGTCCACCTTCATGAAGCCGGGGAACCTGCGGGGGGGGGGAAGGAGAGAGAAGACGAAAACAACGAAGACGATGGCGAGACGAGTCGTTAGCCTTATGGTGATCGCGACGTTGTTGCTGTTGACGATGGTGGTGACGATGGTGATGTTGATGTTGATGTTGAGGATGGTGGTGATGGCGTACTGCTGGAAGAGCATGGAAAGCATGAGCTCGGTGGTCTGGTCGGGCAGGTTCTGCACGAACAGCAGCTTGTTGGGCGGGTTGGGCTTGGGCTGGGGCGGCGCGGCCGGTCCGGTCGCTCCGCCGCCGGGGGCAGCCTGACCGGGCGCGAGCGCGGCCTGCGACGCCTCGTCCTTCGGCTTCTGCACCCATTCAATCCAGGAATGAATGGAATGCCGTCAGCAGGGCTCGAGCGCAGCAACAGCGCAGCAAGAGGGAGTGTGCACGATGAGCTCGTGGTGTGTAGTGTGTATGTACCTTGGCGGGGGTCTCCTTCTTCTTGGGCTTCGGCTTGGGCTTCTCCTCTCGTGGCCGCTTCTCACGGGGCACGAACGTTCCTCGGATCTTGGCCACCAGGTCGGACTTGCTCTTGGCATATTGGATGTGCTGTGGACGAGAGAGTAATCGCAAAGTAAGATGATGATGATGATCTAACGATCATGGTGCAGGATTGGCCAGCACATTTACGATTATGCCACAATCGTCGTGTAGCCGTAAATAAAATCGGCTGGATGGGATCGTGCGGGGGGGGGGGCACGCACCATGGGCTTATCGTAGAAGGCAAAGGATTGGAGGGCCTTGAGGGCGGTGGAGGCTGAACCGATGTCGCGGAAGATCACGAAGGCCTGACCGCGCAGCTTGAGCGACTTCTGAGCAACAATGTCGAGCACTGTGCCGTACTGCGAGAACAGCCCATAGAGAGCCTTTCGCAACTCTGCACCAATTGTTAGTCCAATGCGGGGGATGATGATCAGATAAACATTTCGTGCGTCAATTATTCGCGAATGGACAGAATTTAAGGGTAAATAAGGACTCGCACCATCTCGCTTCACTTTCTCGTTCAAGTTGTTGACATAGAGCGTCTCATTCGGCGGTACTTCGGCCTCCATTTTATGTTCTTCTGCGCAGTCTCGAGATGGGGCAATCAAGATCGGCCTTGAGAAAAAATTGTTCTTTTTCCTCATTTTCCTTGTCGACAAACATTTTACGCCTGCTGGTCTGAAGGCTGGGTCATCGCTCATGCGGCGAAGGGGGCGGTGGATTGAGTGATGGCCACCGGTGGCCGTCCAGCTGCGGGCTGCTGCTCCACCTCCACAACGGGCACGCCGGCCTTCGTGATATAGCCCACGACATGAATGAAGGCGACAGCGAAAGAGATGGACAAAGCAAAAACGACATCAAGAGGGAGAGTGGGAGAGAGCTGGCTGCTTCCCCTTAGTCGATGATGAAGATGACCACCTTCTTCTCCTGCTCCTCCTCCTCGTCTTCGTCGTCGCTGTCGATAAAGATCACTGGATGCTTCGTCCTCTTGGTGTTCGGCTCCACATCCTGATCGTTTTCGGGATCATGAAGGCGCTTGACCGTCGTTCCCTGGTTCGACGCGTCTGAAGTCTGAACGCTGGGTGCTGGGCCTGAAGCGGTCGGAAGTGGTGCGCTGGAGGTGGAGGTGGAGGTGGAGGTGATAGCGGAGGCGGAGGTCGGAAGTGGTGCGCTGGAGGTGGAGGTGGTAGTGGAGGTGGAGGTGGAGGTGGTAGTGAAGGTGGAGGTCGGCACGGTGTCGGCGGCCTCCTGCTGCTTCTGGCGAAAGAGTGCGAAGCCGTTGCTCAAGGTCTTCACCTTCTCCATCTGCAATGCAACGCACAGCACACAAGTGGGGTCAAATGAAGAGTCCACTTGACATGTTGGCAGGTTACCTGGCTTGTTGCACCCAGGACGAACAACAGGCCGGTAATCTCAAAAAGTGCCTGCGACGCTGGGTCAAGTCAAGCACTGAAGCTTCTCCATACAACCCCGAGGGCAAGTGGGAGCGTACGCTGCGTGCTTGGGGAACCGTTAACGGAGCCTTGTGGCAAACAGCATTACGCAGAGCTTGGAACTGGTCTAGCACATGACTTGGAGGAGAATGAGCTGATCAGCAGCGGCCACGAGGAGCAGCAATCGAATCTCGTACCGCGGATCCCGGCCTTGTAGAGGAAAGCGCGGAAGATGTCCACGTTCTTTCCCGCCTTGCACAGTTGTAGGAGATCCAGAGTTGATGGTCTATCGAGTCGTGCCCGCTCGGCTGGAGACTTGGCGTTCCACATGATTTGGAGCACTCCCTGCTCCCAGCCATCGCCGAGGACAGGCCGAAACAACCTCTCCGCCGCGCCGTGTAGCGCCTGTTCCAAGAGCTCGAGGGCCGAAAACACGACGACACGGGGGCCTTGGTGAAACATCGAGAACGGCGACATCACTTCCCGCTCCAGGGCCTCCTGGTCCTGCCCTCCTTCCCCTTGCATCCTCTCTTTTGTTGGCACTTCTACTTCTTCGTATTCTTCTTCTTCCTCTACTCGCTTTCCTTCGCGAACAGTTTCGTTTGACTTTTTTTTTGTGGCCTATTGGTCAGCCCGGACAGTTCTACGCACCGCCTGCAGGTGTGGTGTAGTGCGGCGCCGGTGGCCAACAGCCATCGTATATATATTTAGAAAGAAATACTGAAAAATCTCCTCCACCCAATGTTATTATTACTCAATTTTTACACATCTTGGCCAGATCTGCCAGCCAAGCTTTTTGCCCCGGGGTGGTGGCCGTCTCCGCGTTTGCGCCGGCTTCAGCGTCGTCATCGTCGCATACGACCTTCTTCCTCTTCTTCTTGAGACCAGGTGGAGGTTGGGCTTGCTCCTCTTCTTCGTTGATGCCGTTGGTGCTCCTGTCCTCCTCTTCCTCATCGTCGAGGGCCAGGCTGCCGTCCAGCTCGAGCAGCACGGCCGCGGGGCGCTTCTTTCCCTTGTGTTCATCGACGCCGGCGTCGCCCTCATCTTCTTCGTCCTCGAGGTGGTTATAGTCTTCGTTCTTCTGGTCCACCGGCTCTTCGTTGGTCGCAGCCTCGATCTCCTCTTCCAGCGCCATCATCGCATCGTCTTCGCTCTTCGCTTTCGCTCTTCTTCTGCTACGGAGCCGCTTGCGTCGGTCGAGGCAGGCCGACTCGTCAGCTTCGTCGTCCAACCTGTCATCCTCGTCTTCCGAGTTCTTCATCTCATTCTTCGCCTCATTCGCGTCGTCTTCCTCGTCTTCCTCTTCTTCCTCTTCCTCATCTTCCTCATCTTCCTGTTCGTCATTGTCGTACTCGTCCACCACTTCTTGTTTGACTGTCGCGCGGGTACGGCTCTTCTTCGTCCTGTTGCGGTGGCGTCGGTTACGCGCCGAGTACTCGCGAAACACGCGCCGCACCTCCTCCGAGCTCGCCGCCTCGTAGGCCGTGATCGCGCTGCTCGTGCGTGTGCACAACACCGCCGGCCGCACCACACGCTGGAGATCAGATTCCAAAGAAGAAAGAGAACGGTGGTGCGGCAAAGGCGCGTACCGGCCATAGGGCCTGTCGATCTGCACGCGCTCCGTCGCGTCGGCCCCATGAGCGAGAAGCAGCTGCACCACCTACGCACCAATGATTCATTAACATCATAGTTAACAATCGAGCGGGAATGAAGATGAATGAGAGTCAGGCGGAGTCCTGTGCGCGAGGGGGCTGTACCTCGGCCGAACCGTTGCGGGCGGCGAGATGGAGGACGGGCGTGTTGCAGAGTTCGGGTCGGGCGCCTCGGCGGAGCAGGCACCGCACGACCTCGATCTGATTATGCAGGGCCGCGTCGGCCAGCGCTGTCGTGGTTCCCCTGTGTTCGCCCACCACAGGAGACCACAGCCAACAGGTGATGATGATAGTAAATAACACATTTCACGTAGCGTGTGGGTTGCGGTGGCGGAGAAGGTCAACGTACGCGCGCATGTTGGGGTCGCACCCATTGTCGAGCAACAGCTCCACGAGCTCCAGATACCCCTTGGCCGCAGCTTTGGAACACATACAAACACATCAATCAGTTCAGGCTGCCGCCGCTGGGTGGGTCTCGGGGCACCACGTGCTGGGGAAGAGGAGCGACCTTCGTGCATCGGCGCAGTGCTATAGTGACACATGCCTTTCTTGTCCGCCAAAGCCCCTACAGTACCGTGTGTGTGTGGCGTACGCGTCGTCATGCATGTGTGAACTGGCCCAGAAAAGAGATGTGGAAAGGGGGTCTGGCGTCGTACCATACTGGACGAGGAGCTTGGCGATGCTGAGGCGCCCGAACTGGCAGGCCATCAACATCGGGCGACAGCGCAGTTGGTACTTCCGCACGCTGAATTCGCCCTCCTCCAGCAGCATATGCACCACTTCCTCGTGCCCGTTCTCCACCGCCTGTGGCACACCACCTGTGTGAGGGGGAGAAAGAACGAAGCGACAAGAAAGAGAAAGAGCGAAACCGGGAGTGGGAAGGACCATGTGGAGAGGGCTGTTCAAGTGGGGATTGTGGCGGAGGAGGTAGCGCTCGACGCCGGTGTTGGCCGGCTGTGCCTTCTGGGCCACCGCGCGGATCACCTTGTGCACGATCACCGTGTGACCGTGTTTGGCGGCCCAGTCGAGCAGGATCCGGTCGAGCTCGTCCCTCTCGCGCCTCTCCTGCCTTCCGCTTCGCTTTCGCTGATTCGCCTTGGCCTTCGTTCTTTTATAACGTCCTACGATGGCCCGGTGCTGGCGATAGGTCCACAAGAAGGCCTGGTACCACTTGTTGCGCGGTAGGATCGTTGTCTTCGGTGTTGCCACGCCATCGTCGGTACCGCCTTCCTGCGTCTCCATCAAGCTGTCGTTCAGCTGCAAACGTGGGTCCGACGCGAACCTGGGATTTTAGCTCCGAGTGGTGGTGGTTGGGGAAAGAGGAAGAGGTACATAGGAGGAGTTCTCGTATTTGTCCAACAGGAGACGCGGGAAGGGTCCCCCGAACGACTGGGCGTAGCGGCGCTCCCACTCTTCGCCCTCGGTGGCCACGCTGCGCCAATACTACCGATTGCGCACGCGGTCAGTTGCCATGTAACACACTCTCGGTCGACACAAACGAGGTGCGTACCTTACAAACGCTGGCGAAGCGGGCGTAGCTCTCCATGCGTCGCTCGAGGAACGACCCAATCTGCAAATCGAAATGGCAGCTTGTAAGCGTGTGTCGCGTGTGTCGTGTGGTGCGCTCCAGGTTTCAGTACATACGTAGCGTATGATCTCGGGCGGGAGGACGGGTATGGGTACGCCCGGCGGGTGAAAGTTGCGCAGCCACTGCTGTCGCCTTTCCTTCTCCTCGCGCCTCCGCTTCTGCTGGGCGTCTTCCGGAAACAGCTCGTCCATTAGCGACCCTTTACCATCTTGCGCTTCCTTCGCTAAGTGGTCTGCTCCATCGTCTTCGTCATCGTCATCATCATCCAATTCGTCATTCTCGCTAAAGCCAAAGTCTTCCTCCACCACTCCTTCGTCTTCTTCCTCCTCATTCTCTTCGTTTTCGTTCTCGTTCTCGTTGTCGTCTTCGCTCTTCTCGGCTCTGGCCGGCGATGCCGCGGGAGAAGACGAAATGTCGATGACTGGCGGAGGTGGAGGCAGCCGGTCCTGGGCGGCGGCGAAGGTGGTCGTGGTCGTGGGCGTGGCAGCGTCGGTCGTGACCAACGACGGGCGAAACGAGAGCGCGCCGTTCGCGGGCGAGAACGCGCTCGACGTCTGCACCGACCTCAGCGTTGATGACGTCATCAATCCGCTGATCGGGGTCGATGGCGACAGGCCCAGCCCAGGCAGCGGCCCCTCAGCTTCGGCCACGCACGCAGCGCCGGGACCGATGCCTGACGGCGAGTTGTTGGCGACAGCGCGTGGCGGCGTCATCGGCGAAGCCGCGGGATCGCGAGCCGGCGCGGCCACGTCGACGTCGACATCGAAGCCGTCGGCATTAGGGAGGATGGGGCTGGGCAAGTGGTCTCCGCGACCAGCGGTGGCGGCGGCGACCAGCGACTCCAGGTCGACGCTGCAAAAGAACGAATCGTCGTAGTCGGCGTCGCTCAGCGTACCTGAGGTCGGCGACGGCGACTCGGCCGCCTTGTTTGGAGTGGTGGCGGCGGCTACGAAGCTCGACTCGAGGTTTCTTCGCGGCGGCGGGGTCGAGGCCGTAGAGGTAGCGGTGGGTGGTGGCGACGTGTAGTGGAGGTCGGCAGCGTTGGTGCTGTCGCTGCGTCCTCGCGTGTCGATCGGTATCGTGATATCGTTCTCGTTCTCCTCACCACCCTCTCCTCTACATGTTTAAATTGTCAGGTTAAACATTGATTGTAAGAGAAGAGAATAGTGAATGAAACAAGTACTACACTAACATTTGGAAAAAAAGGATGAAGAGGGTGTAAGGGTTGTGGGGGGGGGCGCATACGTGGAGGGGTGCAGCAGGTGGAGTTCGGCACGCACTATGCGCCGCACGCAGGTGGCAAAGTTCGAATCGGGCCGGGCAAAGTAGGCAGCCAGCACGCTGGCGAGCAGGTCCACCTGCATCATACGGTACCTCCACCCAAGCCTCTAGATGCAACTTTGGTGTTGTTCCTAAGATGAAAAGCAACGTTAGATGGAAATGGCAAACGGCTCAATTTCTTGGAAATAATTCGCAATAATTATTTTCCGTACAGAATTTTTTTCGATTAGCCACCAGTCAATGCTGTCGTAGTTCTTCTTCTTCGTCTTCGTCTTTTTCTTCTTCTTCTTCGTCTTCTTGTTCTTGTTCTTGTTCTTGTTCTTCTTCGTCTTCGTCGTCGTCTTCTTCTTCTTGGCGCTGCTTCCACGAGGTGATGGCGTCGACAAGGTCGTCCTTCATCCGTCCGAAGACCTCGATGTTGTGCTTCTTGACGAACAGGCGGAGCTCGGTCAGCTTGTGCCTCTTCAGGCGGCCCATGTTCAGTCTTAACTCGCCATCGTCGTATTCGATCTCTTCGTCGTCGTCGCTGTCTTCGTCGTCGCTGTCTTCGTCTTCGTCTCTGCTGCTGTTGCAGTAGTCGTCTTCTTCTCCTTCACTACCATCGAAGACCGACGGGTAGGCGAACAGACTTTCGGGGTTCCTAATGGCCGGCTCAAAGCGGGCGAAGATGTCGTTGGCTTCGATGCACAGCTCGCCTAAGTGATTGACTTCTTCTGGTGGTTTGAAACTCTGCAGCGCCTCCAGGTTGTCCTGCGTGTGTGTGTGTGTGTGTGGTGTGTGTGTGTGTGTGTGTGGCGTGGTTTAGAGATGCCCCTGGCGGGAGTGATGTCGTAACGAAAGCGAGGGGGCGGCACCTTGTGCCGTTCTAGGGCGTCGACGTACGCGCGCACGCCATCTACGAAGCTGAGCGCGACCAGGCTGGCAACCAGATGGTTGTAATCGTTGATCCGCACCACCACGCTGTGACACCACCCCGCAGGCCTTAGGATTCCTTGAATTCCTTCAAAAGAACACTGGTACTACCGCACAAGGTTGGGTGTGGTACCCAGACTCGATGTCCAAGGCATAGTAGCTGAACTCGTAATTGAGCGGAGCAATTGGGATCCACTCCATCCTGTGTGCAGAACGTTTGCTCGCGTGTTGTTATGGAGTCATTGCACTGACACATGATGGTGATGATGATTCTTGTTATGATGATGGTGATGGTTGCAGTGGTGACGATGCTTGTGGTGGTAATTGTGATGATGGTGATTGCAGTGGTGATGATGCTTGTGGTGGTGATGGGGGCTGTGCTTTTGCGGAGAGGCAGTCATTACCAGCGCATCAGGCGAGCGAAGCCGAATTTGTAGAAGAACGCTTCGTAGATCTCCGCGAGGCTTGCGCACTTGACAAACTTGCTCATGCCGGGCGCGTCCCTCGGCACTCCGTCATTCCACTTCAAAAACGCCCTCACCTCTGACCCACACGCGCACGCGCCACCGCACACGCACCACCGCACACGACCGGACAACACACACGCGACATGAGACACGACATGGCCCACGAGAGAGCACGCGGGTCTACCGGGCGGGAAATCAATCTGAAACTTCTTCTCGACCGCCCAGATCTCCTTGTCCGTCACGGGATCGAGCTTGAGCGGGGTCTTCATCGAGGAGGCCAGAATCGCGTCGATCCGGCCCAGCAGGCGGCGCATTGTCGCCGCCTTATCTTTCTGTAGACACGACACGACACGACACGACACGACACGAATGCGACACACGGGGCACACATAAATATAAAGGATGACCAAAGCCAAAGCACCACAGCGACGGTTTGCCGGTACCTTCTCGATAGCCTCGACCACCTCGTCGGGCAAATTCAGGTCGTGGTAGGGCACCTCGTGTTCCACCACGACGGTCGCGCATTGAGCGGCCAGGCTCTGCGGTTCGACCTGGCTCCCACCAAAGAAAATGACACGACACACACGACACACACGACACACACGACACAACACGACACAACACGATACACGACACTCAACAAAAACATCAGCCATCAGTGCTGCAGCGCTCGCAGGTCATCAGCCAAGGTTGTACCCAGAGGAAATGAGAGTCCTTGAAGACAGAACCCAGCGACGGGTCGTCGAGGATGGCCTTCCTGATCGCCCTCGGCGGGACCCTGTTCGCGTAGTGTGCACGACTTAATGCCCGAGCCGGACTACTTTGGCGCGGTTGCTGCGTGTGTCGTGTCGTGTCGTTGGTCGTGTCGTGTCGTTGGTCGTGTCGTGTCGTTGGTCGTGTCGTGTCGTGTCGTGTCGTGTCGTGTCGTGTGTGTGTCGTGCGTGTCGTGCGTGTGTGTGTGTGTGCCGTACGATCTGGCTTTCGGTTGAGTGTTGTGTATTTCCGAGGTCGCGACGCTGCCAATCCTGGTGGCAACGGCCAGCGAGGCGCGGGCGCAGTACAGGGCGACCTTCTCCACCTCCTCCTCCGGACCCGCAAGGCCGCCCTCCCACAGAACTGCTCCAGCAACAATTTATAATTATAATTGTAGAAAAATAATAAACACAATTGTGTTAATTATTTTTCTACAATTGCTAAAATAAAGCAAAAAAAAGAATGAATAAATAAGAAATGATGGAGCACAAACCAGTGCGGACAGCTGCGACAAGCTCCTCGATTAGGTGGCCCCATTGTTCCACGCGTCTGTCCAGACAGGCCAGCTCGGGGTAGTACGGGAAGAGGGCCTGCCATCTTTGTTGGACCGTCTCCGGGTCGAGCTTATGCTTCGTCTTTTGAGAGGCGGTCCCCGTCGTGGTGGCATGGGCTTCAGAGCCGCGGCAGAATGTGTTTCGGAGCAGTTCCTCCAAGAGGTTCAGCACCAGCGTGAGCGAGTCGCGCGCGAGAGGCAGAGTCATCACGTGCTTCCCCTTCAGGTGCCAGCCCACCTCCGACCGCACTTGCGTCCCCTGCATCTACACCTCAAGCAAGGGAATATTTCTTCATTTCTCCTTTTGTTTCTTTTATAAAAGAGAAGAAGAAAATGTGGGTTTGTTTTTGATTTGCGGTTGGCTGGCCTCGCAACCACAAACTACACGGCAGCTGCGCTCTTATTGGCCCTGGCCTCCCTCTTGCGGTTGCGCCTCCAGATGGTGATGGCGTTGATGACGTCGTCCTTCATCCGCCCGAACACCCGGATGTTGTGCTTCTTGGCGAAGGCCCGGAGCTCGGTCATCTTGTGCTCCTTCAGGCGGCGCATATTGAGTCCGTCGTCCTCCTCGGCGTCTTCGTCGTCGTCATCATCCTCGCTGCCGTCTTCGTCTTCCTCATCATCGCTGCCACCATACACCCGATGCGTGACCACCGCGAAGCGGGTGTAGATCTCGGGGGCTTGGATGCTCAGGTGCATGGAGCCGTCTTCTTCCTCTGGTGCTGCATAACTGTTCAACGCCTCCACGTTGTCCTGTGTGCGTGGTGCGTGGTGTGTGGTGCGTGGTGCGTGGTGCGTGGTGCGTGGTGCGTGGTGCGTGGTGCGTGGTGCGTGGTGCGTGGTGCGTGGTGCGTGGTGCGTGGTGCGTGGTGCGGTTCAGGACAGCCCCGCAGGGTGAAGCAGCGACGAAAGCGGGGGATGGGGCACCTTGTGCTGTTCCAGGGCGTCGGCGTACGCGCGCACGCTCTCGATGAGGCTGGGCGTGATCAGGAGGGACGACCCGCACTCGTTGTCAATCTGCACCACCATGCTGTGGCGCCAACACCGTCAACACATCATTAGTGGCCTTTGTCACACAACAAAACAGCAAAATGATGATGATGATGATGATGATGATGATGATGATGATGATGAGGTAAGGTAAGGTTGGGTATGTACCCAGACTTGATGTCCAAGGCGTTGTAGCAGAAGTCGTAGTCGATTGGCGCAATTGGGATCCACTTCATCCTGCCCAAACGAACGAATGAAGGAATGTTGAAGTAATGCTGGCTGGTGTGATGAAGATGGTGATGACGACAATGGAGATTATGCTGGCGATGATAAGGGGAAGTAGAGTAGTAAGTAGTACTTGCGGAACAGCGTAGGGAAGTCTTCATTGTAGAAAAACTCCTCGTTGATCTCCTCGAGCCCCGCGCACTGGACAAACGCCATCATGCCTGGCGCGTCCATCGGCACTCCGTTACTCCACTTCAACAGCGCGCTCAGCTCTGGACGCACACACCGCACACACCGCACGCACCGCACACCACATACGAGAGAGGACGTGAGCGCGCGAGTTGCATGAACAAGGGCTTGGCACGAGTCTCTACCGGGTGGAAACTTCAGCTGAAACTTCTTCTCGGCCGCCGCGATCTCCTCGTCCGTCGCAGGCTTGAGCTTGAGCGGGGCCTTCATCGAGGAGGCCAGAATCGCGTCGATCCGGCCCAGCAGGCGGCGCATCATCGCCGCCTTATCCTTCTGTGCATACGACACGCGACACGCGACACATGCACTCGCAAGTTAGTCATTTTGTGACTCCTTCAGAGCGCCGGTTTGTCAGCACCTTCTCGATGGCCTCGACCACCTCGTCGGGCAGGCCCAGGTCGTGGTAGGCCACCTCGTGCTTCACCACGAGGTTCGCGCACAGGGCGGCCAGGCTCTGCGGCGCCACCTGGCTCGTGCCAGCCCACCAAAAAGAAACAAAGGCATCTCAGCCACCAGACCAGTGCCGCGCGCAGGCCACTTCGAAGACTTGGTACCCGGAGAGAGGGAGAGTCCTTGAAGACCGGAGCCAGCGACGGGTCTTCGCTGATGGCCTTCTTGACGACGCTCGGCGGGACCCTAGGTCAATGACGGCACGTCGGAGTTAAAACAATTAAGGGAGATCGTGTGTTGTGTGCCACATCGTCGTATGTGTGTCGTGTCGCGTCGTGTCGTGCGTGTGTGTCGTGCGCACCCATGGACGGCCGGGCGAGTATTGACGGCTTCAGTGGCCCCAACCTCGGCGATCTTGGAGGCCCGCCCAGCAGGACCCGGGCGCAGTACTGCGCCACCTTTGTCTCCTCCACCACCTCGCCACCGTCCTCCCGTAGAACTGCGCCCATAAATAATATTACTTCAGTTATCACCACAACTTCATCATAAATAAATAAATAAATATATAAATAAATAGCAAGACGTGAGCCAAACCAGTGAGGACTGCGGCGACAAGTGCCGGCGGACATTTTTGCACCCCGTCGACACTCAGCCCGGCAGCGAGCTCGGGGTCGTTCGGGAAGAGGGCCTGCCACCTCTGCTGGGTGGTCTCGGGGTCCAGCTTCTGCTTCGGCTTCTTCCCCGCCGAGGCCTCGCCGGTGGCGGGCGCAGTCGCCGGCTGCTGGAAGGTGCGCAGCAGTTCGTTCAGCAGGCCCAGCACCAGCGTAATTGAGTCGCGCGAGAGGCACACAACCAAATCCTCGTCCCGCAGGTGCCTGCCGACCACCGCCCGCACCTGTGCTGCCTACATCGTGTGTTGTATTAACAAAACAAACAAAAAACTACGAAGAAAAAACAAAACGAAAATAAATGGCCCTTGAACTGAAAGTAGTTTTTTCCTGTCTTTCTGTTGACCAATCAGTTGCTCTTGTGGCAAGCACTCTTGATCATGCTGTCCTTGATGACATGCAACAGGCTGATGGTGGGCTAGATGCTTCACAGCAACAGTTGCATTGAGTGTTGCTTCCATATTCCTCTCTCTAGAATGACCCAGTCAAAAAGGGAGTACATTAAACACCAGGAGATTGTGCAGTATGTTCAGAAACCAGCAAGAATGGGGTGTCAAAACAGACAACATCAAGCATGTGGGGTTCCTGGTCTTCCACTTTTTGAAAACCATCAATTTCTTAAACAACCAGGTTTTATTTTGGACATAAATGCACATGCAGGAACTGGTAGGCTGTACAGATAGTTGGCCAAAATGGCCTGTTTTCATGATTCTTCTTTTGAGATTTCTCATTTTTGGCCTTATGAACAAGGTACACTGTCCCCTTTTCATGAACACCAAGCTGGAGAGTGAGATGGGAGGGGCAAGGATTGTGGAGAAATTAGAATTGTAAGTGCCCCATTGAGCAGTGGCAGGGGGGGTGTATTGAGGAGTGATTGTGGGGGGCTGTGCTGTTGTTGGCCCTGGGTTGGGGGTGATGGAAAACCTTAGAATCTACTAGATCAGAGATGCTTGCACTTTCAGGTATGTGTAGGAGAGTGGTGTAGGATGCTTGGGGAGTGGAGTTGTTGTGTGAGGTCATTGCTGGTACTTGTGGTAACAAGCCATGGCATTCACCCCAAGTCCATTGGTGGCTGAAAATAAAAATAAACTAAAAATCAGATAAGTTTGTTTTTCTTCTTGGTGGAGGGCATGGCAGTGTTGTGGCTGCTTGGTATGGGCGTGGCTGTGCTGGCGATCCTCCTGCACTATGTACGCTGCTCACACACAAAAAGCAACGCCAAAACTTCCCTCACTGGAAAGCAACACAACTGCTAACATCATTTTCGGGGGGGGCGTGTGCAGGTGTACAAGGCCTTCAGCTGGGTCCGTCCCCTTCCCCATCATCAGCAGCACTCATCTTTGTATGCCTGCTCCCCTCTCTTTTTTTAACTTTTTCTACTTTATTTTTATTCACCTTTTTTTTGCTGTTGTTGTCACCTCAGCAGTCCACCACGCCAAAGCGTTCCATGAGCTGCTATGGCCCCCAACAACAAATCAAGAAGACAATGAAGAAGCAAGACAGTGTGGTGGATGTGGTGCCCAATTGGGTATGTGTCTGGCACCTTCTGGACTGTGGGCAGCAGGTCCTTGCGCTGGCCTTCCACAAGTGGTGGCAACTCCTCAAGTGGGGTGACTGGATGCCCAATTTGCCTGTGGCCTGGGCCTTCTTTGAAAAGAACAGCCCCAAAGGTGAGGGCTGGCCAGCCTTCCAGAAGGCCACCCCAGCCCAGTGGGTCCAGCTTGTTGCAGGTACCACTGAATGGTGGGACATTACCCTACTGTGCCTGGTGCTCCAGCACTCAGCTTGGCCATGTGTGCCACCCAGCCAAGAGAAAAAGGCAATCAATGCACTGTGGAAGGCACATAATGCTGTTGCCCACACACTGCCTTTGCAACTGCCTGTGCAGGAGGTGAGCAATCTGCTGCACCATGTCATGACTAGCCTTGTCACACTGGGCAAGGACAAAGCCAAACTCAATCACTTTCTTCTCAACAAGCAATGTGGTGGTAACATTTCATGTGTGTCATGTGTGTTGTGTGTGTTGTATGTGTCGTGTGTCATGTGTGTCATGTGTGTCATGTGTGTCATATGTGTGCAGATGGGCGTTTTATTTCAAGTTTTATTTGATTTTAAGCAGCCATTTGTTTCTCTCTCTTCGCCCAACACAGCAGTGACCAGCTTGAGTGGGGTGGGAGTGGCCTATCACAGGCCAGTGAGAAGGTCCTGGCCAAGGCCAAGCACCTCAATGAGAAGGCCAACAAAAAGTACCAGGCCAGGCGCTTTGAAGAGGCCATCAAGCTCTACACCAAGGCCCTGGAGTTGCCCCTGCTGCCCAAGGAGGAGCTGTGCAGAAGGTGGTCTTCACCAGTGAGAACAGATGCAATCAGGCCAATGGAGTCAAGACATGCAGTGGGAAGGTGGTGTACAACTTCAATACATCGACCTGCTACGCCTACTCTGGCTACTACTTGGCTTCTGACTTCACCAACCTGTTCATCCAGTATGTCAACCAGCCTGGCACTGTTGGCTGGGCGACCTTCTTCTTCACCAGCAATCAGTGCTTGAGCTCCACCCTCACCAGCAGGTACATCAGGTTCTGCCCTGACAACACCTGCTGCATGGCCCCACTCAGAATTGGAAATTACACCCTGGGCTGCTTTGAGGTCAAGGGTCCACACAAGACCAACCACCACTTGTAGTTGCTTTTCTTGCCTTAACAGCTTTCACCTTGATTTTTACAATCATCCCTTACCCCCCTCTTATGCATGTCACTGCTTTGCTGACACATGCCCACCACACTTTGCACAAACACAAACGTCACCATCAACTTCTCTCTTCCCTTGGTCAGCCGTAGGGTGGCGCCTGCAAACACAAAAAAAGTGCCTGCCAGCCAACTGTCAGACTGAAATTCAGTCTTGGCCTGAAATTTCAGGCGTGTACAACCCAGCAAGTTAGGAGGTAAAGCAGAGGTATTTATTGGCCAATAGAAGCAGCGTGCTTAACCTTTAGATCAGTAGCCCTCATTGGCTGGTCAGCCATTTCCTATTGGCCCAAGAAAAAAAAGAAACATGGAAAGCCATGATTCTTGTTTCCAGGTGAACAATCACTAGAGAGATTGAGGAGAGGTAATGAAGGCTGGCGAGAAATTTGACACTGGTGGTGATGACTGGTAGTGACTGCAAGATGTGGCAAGAGATTGATGTGTTCATCTTCTGGCTGGTGTGGCCTCCAATTGGGGAGTCTGGGCAAGCTCCCCATGGGTCCATGTGGCCCTCCTTCCTGCAAGATTTCCACACATTAGCCAATACTACTGGGCACTGGCCACACATGAGGCATGGACCATGCAATCACAGCCCTAGTACAGGTGAGCACTGCTGGCAATATATCACTGGCTGGTCTTTTTCACACTCAACACACTTGAAAAGTGATTTTGTTTGTGAGTTTAAGCCTCTATAAATGGTTTTGACAACACAAAAATGGTTTTACTTTAAAAATAGCAAGACAAAATTGGGAGCATCTTGAGAAAATGGCAGAGTAAAATACCATCATAATGAGAGATATGATGCACAGTTAACTGGGCCATCAGGGTCTGGAATGACACACCCACAGGTGCAGAATTGGTGGTGTGGTTTTAGAGGAATGAAACCAGCTCATGGTTGCACCTCCCACAGCAGAATGGAACAGAGCCTCCTCCTTCCCTATCATTTTGCACTGGCCCAGTGCAATGAACATTTGGTGTTTTTTGCAGCCTCAACCAACTGGGCCACCAACCACTGGGCCAGTGGAAGGCACCCAGCCTGGGCTGTGGCCAGCAGGCCACTCTTGTTGTTGACCTCTCCCCGGGTTGTGGCTCGTTGTGGTGATGGTGACGGCCTCCAACCCCCCCCCCACCGACGATTCGCCCACCCGGGGGTCTCATCTCATGAGTCAACAAGGCGCAGCAACTCAAGCACTCCTGTTTAGGGTGGGCAGGCCTGGAATCTGACTGGGAACGTGAAGAATGAAGATGAGCACTACATGAGGAGGCACTTCTTGTTGTCCTTGGCTTCCAGGCCCTCCCATGGCTGCAGGCCAAACACCAGCTGGCCCAGCTCGCTTGGCTCGAACCCCTGCGGCAGCCGGTGGCGCAGAACCTGAGCCCTGTGTGCGAGTGTTGTTGTTTGTGCTGGAGGTACGAACACCATGGGGCGGGAGACAGGTACCTCACGCTCCAGATGGAGGAGTTGGTCGGGGGCATGACCACGGCGGGGAACATCTTGAGGTACTGCACGAAGCGGAAATTGGGACCCGTGTTGGGGTAGTTGCAATGCGGCATCCTCGACGACCACACCACCAACGATCCTATGTGTGTGTGCGTTGTCACACCATCACCACACAAACATGTGAGGCCCATGCATCAAATTGGTGTTGTTGGTGTGGTGTATACCCTTGCGTGCGGTGATCTTCTGCGAGTGCTCACGCAGCGGGTCCTCCTTGGGCACGTACACGAACGAGCCCTGCAAACAATGAATAAAGTTCAATCAGAGAACCAAACACACAGACCTAACCCAGTAGTGTCCAGGGCCTACCTTGTTGAAGATGGGCGTCTGCTTGGCCCATGTCTCCAGGAATTTGTGGTAGCCCGGCACTGTCTCGAAGCCGCCGTCCTCCTCTGAACCGTGGCGTTCAGTAAACGTCGTGCGGGGTGGCGCGTGAGGGTACTGGGCATGTGCCCGCGCACGTACCGGTGCTGTCCGAGAGGGCCAGGAGGCCCTGCATCTTCTCGTAGCCCTTAAAGTCCACCGTGCCGTTGTTCTCGGTGATGAACTTCATCGCACCTGACATCAGCCATCTGCGCATTTGGGGCTTCACATGTTGAAAAACAGAGAGCCCACACATGGCACACACAGCACTCACGGCACGCGATACGCGATGCACGAGATATGGCACAACACGACACGACGCGACGCGACGCGACGCGACGCATGTTTTGGAGGAGGCGGTACCCGTCGTGGATGTCCTGCTCTTTCTGTGGGTCGGGGCAGGGTGCGAGGCCGAACCAGGCCCAGACGGCGAGGTCCCAGTGGAACCACTGCTCGGTGGTCTGCCAGTTGGGCCGGTCCTTGACCACCTCCTCGACCACCTCCACCTCGTTCCCCTCGGCGTCCACGCTCTTCCTCTTCTTCATCATCTTGACGTTCTTCGTCGGCCGCATGATGCCGTACCTGATGGATGATGGATGATGATGGTGTACATTATCAACATCAACAACATAAGAGGAGTGTGTGCGGTGTGCAGTGTGCAGTGTGTGCGGTGGCATGTGTGCGGCGGTGTGTCGTGTGGGAGGGAGACACGCACCGATCGACGGAGGATATGAGTTTCTCGGTGCCGAAGAGGTTGGCGTAGACCTGGTGCACGCGTGGGTGCTGTCGGTTGGTCCACGCCTGCGGCCCAGCGGCAATGTCGCCGCCCAGGATGCCCATGCCCATGCTCGGCCACGTTTTCCACGTGTTCGGGTCGTCCCTCGACAGCAGCGTGTCCCCTGTGCCCACCCCACATTCCAGTGGTGAGCCACACCTTCCAGTGGCGAGACCAGCTGACCAGAGGCCTTGGTACCATCAAACTTGGCTCGGTTGGCCAGCGCCTCAGTGTCGGTCCAGATCTCGTCGACGGTCGCCTGCCCTCGCCCGTTCGCCACGGTTTCGGTGAAATATATTATTTATTTATTTATTTATCTAGTTAAATATTTAAATAAATAAATAAATAAATAAATAAATAAAACGTGAAAGATGAAAGATGGGAGGGTGAGGGGAAAGGGGTGGGTGGGGGGTACGTCGACTTCGGTGGAGTCGAGGACGTCCCTCACGACGACAAAGCCGTAAGTGTCGAAGAAGGCCCGCTGGCCCTCGGTATCTTCCACGGCGAACGACTGCACATAGCCGTCCTCATCTAGAGGTACCTTCATGCCCTCGAACACCTCCTCCTTCGCCTCCACTCCCTGCTGCTCTCCTTCCATCTTTTTGCTCTACTTTGTCCGCAGCTGTTCTTTTTTGGGAGCTCATCAACGTCGCGTTTTTTTTTAATTTTATTTTCAACCAACAATTCCAAGAATTGTGATATTTAACACCAATAAAATCCCAAAAGGCAAGCAACGGTTTTCTCACCCAACCAACACACAAATGCAAGGGATCCAATCACGGGAGACAACCTGCTGCACGGTGCGCAGCCACGCGACTGGTGGAACCCTACGCATTCAACCCGCCAGCGTACTTGCCCACAAATCAGATTAATCGGTTTGTACAATTTAATAATCTTTTTGTCGCACAGACTGTGGTCGTGGGACGCAACTCCGACCCATCCCTGGCCATCACGTACAGCCATCCTATTTCTATTTCTTTAAATTAGTTATATTTTTCTTCCTTTTTTTAACACTATTTTTTCAATAAGGGACAAACGCTGCTCTCGACGGCACGTGGAGCTGTTCTTCGACCATCAAGCACACACCCTCCGCATCACAGCCGTACGGCTTCCTCCAACTTACATGCGTGTCGTGCGGCCGTGCGTGTGCGTGTCGTGCGGCCGTGTGCGGTCACTAGCCTTTGCTAACCTACCTGCCTGTTCCGTCACACAGCTTGGCAGCAACCCCGTCCTGGTGCGAAAGCAGAGCACGGGGAAGGAGCAGCTCCTGGCCAAGGACAAGTCCAGCGGCCTCGTCCACCGCGACGAGTTCTACCTCCTGCCCGGCGAGGACTCGCTCCAATTCTCTGTCGACATGCCCTCGACCACCTCGACCACGACCACGACCACCTCGGCCTCGGCCTCATCAGCCACCTTAACTACTGAGAGCAACGGAAAGAAAAGGAAAATGCCCAGCACGTTCGTGGAGGGAGAGGGCGGGGCTGCGACTAAGAACAGAGAAGAAGAGGAGGAGACGACAGGCGCTGCGGCTGCGAAGCCCGCGGCCAAGAAGAAGCCCAAGGTGGAAGAGGAAGCGGATGAGCGCCAACAACAGAAAAAGCAGGTGGACACGCGGCCCAAGTGCATGTATGGCAAGGCCTGCTATCGCAAGGTAACAACACCACACGGTCCACAACTGCGAGTGCACCTAGGGCTCACTCACAACGGGCGCTCGCGTGTGTGTGCGATGGTCATGTGCGGTCGTGCGCGATCATCTGCCCGCAGAATGCGGACCACCTGAAAGCGTTCTCGCACGTTTTCGATGACGACGGGGTAGAGCAGACACCTGCCACGAAGAAGAAGACAACGAATCCGGCCGGAGCCACCAAGAAGTGGGAGCCCGAGAAGGAACTCGACGACGACGAAGACGAAGGCAGCATTCTTCTGCCGCCCGAGGACAACAACAACGAAGGTGTTGTGCGTGTGAGCGTGTGCGCGCGTGCGTGCGGCGCATATGTCGTGTGTGTAGTCAAGATGCTGACCAAGCACAACGCCCCAACAGATGGAGAGACGCGTGTAGTGTCTTCGCGCATAGGGAGGATTTCCTATGCCACGCCGCCCAAGATGCGCTGGACCTGCGTGGAGGGGACGCTGTTCGTACTCAACGGAGTCGATGTCAAGCCCTCCGCCAAGATCGCGTCCTTCGATATGGTGCGCCGCCGCCGTCCATCATCATCTTCTGCTGATCACGTCACTGACTTGATTTGGGGGCGTCCACAAGGATTCGACGTTGATTGTGACCAAGAGCGGGCGAGTCTTCCCGCAGAGCCGTACTGACTGGTACGTCTTTACATGCCGACCGCGCACGCACACGCGCACACTCACACGCACACGCACGCACACGCACACCGGCACACACGACACACAATGCGCCTGGTGTTCTCGTTGGCTGATCGTTGTCATGCGGTGGTGGTGCCAGGCAGTGGATGTACTCCAGCATTCCCGACGCGTTGCGGAGACTGCACAGGTCGGGCTTCAAGATCGTCATCTTCACCAACCAGGGGGGCATCAAAAAGAGCGAAGCCAAAGCCGACGAGATCAAGGGCAAGGTTGGTCTTCGTTCTTTATTCTTTGTTCTTCGCTTTTCATTCATCGACCTTTCGTTCTTCGCTCTTTTTGACTCATGAAACTCTTCCGGGGTGGGCAGATATGGGACCTGTGGGAGGACTTGGGGGTGCCCATCCAGGCGTTCATCGCCGGCGGCGGTGACTCCTGGCGCAAGCCGTCCACCGACATGTGGGACTTCATGTGCCGCCACTGCAACGGAGTACGCCCCGTGACACACACACGACACGCGCACACGACGCAGTGGCACACACTTGCTCATATGTGTGGGGGGATGTGTTCAGGGCGTGGCTGTGGACATGGAGAGCTCGTTCTACTGCGGCGACGCAGCAGGTCGCTCGGCCGATCCCACGCAGGGCCGGCCAAAGCGCGACTTCAGCTGCGGCGATCGAAAATTCGCTGCGAACATCGGTTCGTTGTCCATTGAACTACCAGTCAGCTTCTTGCAGGCGTTTGACCCTTCCTTGCGGTGTGTGCGGTGTGTGCGGTTATGCGTGTGCGCAGGCGTGAACTTCCACACGCCAGAGGCCCATTTCCTGAAACAGAAAGAGGCCGAGTTTGAATGGGGTGGGGTCAATCCCAAGTCCCTCTACCTGGCCGCCCAGAAGCACTCCCTCATCGAAGGCGTAAAAGGTTCGCCACACCGATAACCGCACCACCGCACCACCGCACCTGACACTGTTGGTCGTATGCAGGAAAATCGGTCAAGGTTGCGTCGGATACGCAGGAACTGGTCGTCTTTGTGGGCTTTCCTGCCAGCGGTAAGAGCACCTTCGCCGAGCGCTACTTCGTGCCCGAGGGCTACGTGCGCGTCAACCAGGTGCGGACCAAATAGCCGCGCGCACGTGGTGTGTGTGCATGTGTGTGTGTGTGTGTGTGTGGGTGTGGTGTGGTGTGGTGTGTGGTGTGCGGTGGAGCGTGTCGGTGTGCGCTAACCTCACACGATGGCCAGGACACGCTCAAGAGCAAGGACAGATGCCTGCGGGCATGTGCACAGGCGTTGGACGAAGGTTCGTCGGTGGTGATCGACAACACGAACCCGTCGCCCGCCGTTCGCGCCGAATACCTCGCGCTGGCCAAGGTTTCAATCTCTCTTCCCGCCTCGCGCCTGATCTCTCTTTGCGTCTCTCTGATCGTGTCGAGTCTGTGTGCTCTCTTTCTATATCGCAGAAGCGAGGCCTGCCAGCGCGCTGTTTCTATTTCGCCACCAGCAAGGATGTGGCCAAGCACCTGAACCACTTCCGCGAGGTATGCCCGCTCTCGCGTGTGTCGTGTGTCGTGTGTCGCGTGTCGCGTGTCGCGTGTGCCATGCGAGCCATTTGAAAATGGTGATTTCTTAATTATTATGTTCCAACAGAGGCTGACGGACGGCGAGCGCAGGCACGTTCCGGACATGGGGTACGTGCGCTGCCACACAAGCGAATGGTTCTTACTGGTGCTGATGATGATGATGGTGAGCACAACATGATAACCTCGCGCTACAATGACAACAGGTACAACATCTATGCCAAGAACTTCAAGGAACCGAAGCCCAGCGAGGGCTTCACGGAGGTGAAGAAGATCAACTTCGTGCCTCGCTTCGACTCCAAACTAGAGGAACGCCTCTTCCTCCAGTTCACAGCCGACTGACACAGAGCTTGTAGAAAAAGAAATAAATTGTAAAACAGACAGAAGATGGAAGGAGAAGGGGATTCGGAGGGTTATGTGGAGCAGTTGCACCGTGAGGTAGCCAGCGTTAAACATTCCAACGTTGCCGTTCGTGATGATAATAGATTCGAGATTGTTTTACTCATGAGATTAAGTCCTAATCAGATGGCGTACCTGAGGGAGCGCAACGAAGACGGAATGCTACGCGAAGCCGGCATCGGCATCAAGAGCGTTGTCATCACGAGCGGCGGAACCGCCGCCGGCGCACAGGAGGTCGGTGCTGCCAGCGACGCAAGCGGCGCCGACGTCGACGCTGGCGCAGAGCAGGCCGAAACGATGGGTCGAGGCATGTTCGCGCTGCGCGACTTCAAGGCCGGCGACGTCATCCTGGAGGAGAGCCCACTGGCCATTGCCCCACGCGACGTACTCTTCTCTCTCTCTCTCTTTCTCTCTTTTCTCTCTTTGCTGACCAAGTGCGTGGTGGCCCAGATGCTGCACTGCTCCCAATGCCTACGGAAGCTCGCGGCCTCTACGGCCGCCGTCGCGTGCCCACACTGCCGGCTGGACCCTTATTGCAGCGACAGGTGCTCAGTGTGTGCGGCGTGTGCGGCGATGGTGCGTAGGCTGACCTGAAGGCGCAAATAGGTGCGCAGCGGAGGCCTGGGAGAGTCATCATCGATTGCTCTGCGAGGCGGCCCAAGCGGACCCCGAAACCACGGGGCAGGCCCTTCGGGACTTCAACGCCCTATGCCGCGAACAGGCCCGTGCCTACCCGCTCCTGATCGCACGGTAGACTCTTGCTCTTCTTTCTCCCGCCACAAACGCCTATTCTAACATTGTGTCGTGTGTGTGTGTCGTGTGTCATCGGTTGCGTCGTGTGTGTCGTTTGTGTCGTTTGTGTCGTGTTGGTCGTGTGTGTCATGTGTGTGTAGACTGATCGCACAGCTCTCGACGGTAAGTGCTTGATCCGCTCCCTCGTGCGCTCTGCACATGTATGACTCAACCTCGGTTTGGAATGGAGCAGGACGTAGCCAAGCTGGGTGCCGACGTGTCTCTGGAGGAGGCCCTGGATCGACCCAATGGCCTCTTCTCCCACCTCAGGTGCAATGCAACGCAACGCAGCGTGACGCACGTCAAACATTCCACAACTTAACACCGTCCTTGTGGACTGGCGCACAGACACTTCTGTTCAGCTGACATCGAGCCCCAGGGCTTCCCACCCGAGTTTTCGATGCTGGACTACATCTTCGGCCAAACCAACCTAGCCTCTCATATCCTTTCCACTTGTGCCGCTGTGCGTGTGCGTGTGCGTGTGCGTGTGCGTGTGCTCGTCAGACCATATGCTTCCTTGACCCACGATGCGTACTGGTGGACGAACACTTTTGCTTCTGGCTGTTCACCATCCTCATGCGGGTACAGCCGGTTCAGTGTGTTTGGGATCGACTCAGAGCCAAGACATCTAACAATTCCTTCCGCCCCCCCAAAGAACACGTTTGGGCTGTGGATCGTGGAGGAGGGCGAGGCCGAGGGGGTGTACACGGATCGGCGCGAGGACGGCGTTGCGCTCTTCCTCCACGCCAGCTACTTCAACCACTCCTGCACGTACGTGATTGTGTGTCGTGTGTGTGTGTCGTGTGTGTGTGTGTGTGTGTGTGTGTGGTCTTACTCCCCGCCCCCAAAGACCGAATGTGGACCGATGCAACAGGCATGGAGACAAGCGCGTGGCCTTCATCGCGTGCGCCGACATCAAGAAAGGTAGGAAACAACGACGGGTGATGACACGCGCGTGTGCACACGTCGCGACACACACCACACACGTGCTAAAGCACCGCCGTGGCGGTGGCGCAGGAGAGCAATTGTTCATCGAGTACGTGGACACGCGAGCGATGGTGGACGAACGACGACAGGAGCTGGCGCAGCGGTACGGCTTCCTCTGTTCCTGCCCCAAATGTTCAGTCGAAGCCACAGCAGAAGGCACCACCACCACCACACAATGATGAATAGAAACGTTTAATCGAAACTTTATTTATCGTTATTATGTACGGCTTTGCATTATCTTTTCGCTCTATTTCCTCTTTTTCTTTTGGTCCTTTTTTTGGATTTCGGCCGAAATTGAGGGGGAGACGCTGGAAATGTCAAGGAAGGACCCTGGCTTGTTCCTTGGCTTCCGATCGAGCTTGGTGTCACATGCCCCGAGACAACAGCGTGCCGGCGTGATCTGGCCCGCGCCGCCGTGACCACAGGTCGATCGCGGGCTTATGTCAAGAGGGCTTCTCTCTCACACACCTTGTCCCGCTTGTCAGCGGGTGGACCACCCGCGACCCGTCAGGCTTCTCCGCCTTTTAGGCCAAAGCAGCAAGGTGTGCCCCACTTCTCCCTCAAAACAACACTCTTCGGAGAGAGATCTTTTGTGCCCATTGACATCTTTAACCTTCATCAACGCAACACCGCCACAAGCGCTTGCCTCCTTCTTGAAACAACACCCTGGTCAATTTGGTACCTCGTCTCGACCCTCTTGCCCAGCTTGGCTCACCTTTTTATTTGCTTGGGCGGAGGTGCTGCATCTGTGTAAAGGGCTTCAGACTCACCGCGCGCGGACCGCGTACTGCAGATCGCACGACACCCATGAATGCACCCGTCAGG